GACTTCATACTGTAGTGCAGCCTCTTTATTTGAATCTTGAATTGTATTTTGAGCATTTTTATCCGGAATAAATTTTAAAAAAATAAATAAATAAATAAAATATATAATTTCATACTTTAATAATGTGTATTGATTTTTAAACAAGTATGGTAAGTTTTTCATTATATTTTCCTTCTTAGATGTCGTCAAAAGCCAAAAGTACAAGGTCAGCCGCAGCCTCCTCCCGCAATGGCCTGCCTTCAGGAAAGATTCCCAGACTGCCGCCTATCAACACCCCTGCCAGCATGCTATCCAGCAGCACGAAGGACTATAGCAAAAGCAAGTTAATGACATACCGTCGTTCTAGAGAGATGCAAAGCTTACTCACTAACGTTCTCTATGGCAATGCCGCTAAGGCATATGAAGAAATTGAAGAGATAAACCGAAAGGCACCTGTGAAGACGGAGCATCCTTCATACCCAGACTCGGTGAGTATCCCAATAATAGAAAAAAACTTAATATACTCATAATTTGTTTGATGCATTAAAGAACAATCAGGAGATTCTAGAGACCAATTCAAATATTTATTAAAACACAGGTTTTAACCCCAATTTGCACTCGCAACAGAAAATTTACTAAATATTAACTTATCGTTCCAATATTTTCCTACCAAGATTCATCGTTTTCACACGACAAACCTTGTTAAAAATTTGGTGCATTTGATACGCAGACAATGAAGATACACGCGATGTTCAAAGTGGGAGATAGTCTGCACTATATTATCATGCGCACAGATATTTGCTAAATATCTTATTGATGTCTGTTTTTTAACTGAGATATTCTTTGTATTCCTACACTTAGGGTCATTCTCACAACCAAAATATCCTTGCTTGGGAATCCTTGGTACAATTTCTTAATAGTTGGTACATTTCTTTCATGTGAATTGGGTTTTACTGTAGACTGTCTACACTAATAACGATTGTATTATTGTAGACAGTACACTCTTTTTTTTTTTTATAAGAACACATTTTATAAGAACACTGAGGCTGAAATTGCTTAAAAATTAAGAACAAAATAAGAACAAATTGAGGCTGAGGTAAAATTTCAAATGAGGTTTATATTTTTAAAACCAAAATTTTATATCTGTACATTATGTGCAGTAGATGTGACTATAATACCCTCTATAATACAGTACAGTAGGTGTACCTATCTGACTTGGGGGCCATTTTTTGTGGGGTCACTTTACATTCCAGTACAGTGCATACTGCCGTAATTAAATATTTTTTTGTTTAAAAGGTGTGGAACCTTTTTAAAATAAGAACATTTTGAGCCTGAAATCGGCCAAAAAATAAGAACACTGAGCCTGGGCAAAAGTTTACTGGTTCTTATAAAAAAAAAAAAAGTTACATTAATATACTAATTCGGAATTAGTGTGCTGTACAGTATTAGTGTAGACAGTACACTTAAATTCAGCTGAAGAAGTGCACACGCATGCTGAATGCTTGTGTGTAAAATATTTCTTCATTTGATGTGCTAACAATTATGACAAAGTCTTTTAATTTACCCATGTGCTTCACAGATGATGGGTAACGATCGAATGTTACGGGTGAGTATTTGCAAGAAATCAGATTTGATGTGTCACAACTTCCCTTATCCTTCTATAAATGCACATTACTGCTGGGGAGAAAATTACAGCCTGTGTACCATTCACATTAAAATTATGATTCATTTACTGAAATTATAGTACAGTAATTTTATTTATCTTTTATTTAATTTTCAAAGTGGCTTGTAATTAATTTCATTGTATTTATTGGATCATGCTTTTTATTATGATTGGTTGATATTAAAGACATGGTGAAAATATTTTATCATTTAAACATTCAAATTTAATATAATCGTGATTTGTATTACCATATTTATTACAAATAATGCCCTGCTTTGAATAAATGCCCCCTCGAATAAACGCCCCTCCAGAACAACCTCATATTAGAATAAACCTCCTAAATTACAGTAAACAAAACTAAATAGAAGCAACATCATTGTCAACACATTCTATTAATGTTCTACTTCAGTAAAATTATATTTTTTCTATGGTTGGGATCAATAAGGCTTTATGATCATATAATAACACAGTTTGACTCTAATTATGTGTTGTAGGTCAAAATTTGCAGTAAATTTAAGGGACGTTTATTTACCTGTATCCATTTTACATCCAAAAAAGTAAACACCTCCCTTGAATAAACGCCCCCACAAAAATCCTCCTGAACAAAACGCCCTAGGGCGTTTATTTGAATGAATACGGTAATTTAATTATTATTAACCTGTAATAGCTGTAATTTTTTCAAACCGGTAGGTTTTCTATCCATGTGTGGTTTTTTTTCACTTGGCTATGACACAGGTTCTGGTAGCTTATTTGCACCTCTTTCTGTCTAGTTTATTTCTGTAGCGGCACTTCTTTCTGTGGAAGGTGTTTTATGATGATACCATCACCACTGCTACAATTACCTGCTGTGGTTGCCTACTGCTTTGATAATATCCTTCCCCTTCTTTGTTGCCTTTATTTAGATATTTTCTTGACTTCCTTCCCGTGGATTACTTTTTTTCAGTTGACAAACTAACAACTTTCTAGTAAAGTGTAATGCTCTCAAACTTGTTTACATTAAAATATGCTTTAAAACCATGCCAGTTGATATTTGTGTGTGTGCAGGCCTGCTGTTTCTTTCTTCCTTCCATTTCATTTTTGTTTTCTTTCATTTATTTCCTTCATTTTGTTTATTTCTTCATTTCTTTATTTATTTAGTCATATTATTTTGTTTTTTAATTTTGTTTATTTGTAAATTTAATTTATTATTATTTATATTTATATTTATAAATATATTATAAATTTCTTTTATTCATTTTTATATTTCTTATTATTATTTATTTTTTTTTATACTTTTGTTATACTTTTTGAATGTTCTACACCCACACTGTGTTGTTTCCTTTTATGGCACCCCTCTTTTTTTTTCATTTTTCAATTAATTAATATTAATTTTCTTGCTCTGACTCTATTAAATATGCTATTTAAATATAGAACATAATCCCTTTGTCTATTTTGTAAATACTTGACTGGTTGAACCGATATATAAGCCACATTCCTAATTGAACTTACCTGCGGAAAGTAATGGAATTGTTTAATCCAAGTGTATATAACACATCAGCGTTTTTATGTAATCGTATAATTGGTTCATCCGGGTAAATATCTCACTCATAGACCAACAACATCACTTCTGATTTGTGTGGTTTTACCTACTTATCATGCATGTACTGTATGTGCTTATGGTTTTGTATTATAACTTTGAACAGCATTTAAAACATCTGTGTAATAGTGGCGATCAAGTCATCATTCATAATATGCATTTTGTCTTCACTGTCTTTTTAGCAAAATTACCTCTTTCTGAAAGAATGCGTAGAAAGCAGCCCGATAGTTCCAATGGAAAAGCATTGGTTCGAGTCGATATTAAACCTAGTTCCAGCACACCTAAGAACTGGTAAAGAAATACAAGAATATATTGAGGAGCTGTTTAATGAGGTTAAGAATGACTATGCTAACAGCATGAAGAAAGCTATGGGTAAGTTTTATTAACCTTTCGGTAAGCTATGTTTTAAGTAGGCCTAGATTCTTACAACAACAATCTATGTTTTTTAAGATAATCGATTAAAACTCAAATCGTAAAAACACTACCACAGTAAGGTTCTGAGTTCCAACATGGAATATTCTTATACAGTACAATATTATTTTTGTGCACTTTTTTTTTTTTCACTTCATCTAGGCAACATTGGTCTTAAAATCACATTCCTCACCGGCCCTCTCTTTCCTTGTAGTGCTTGTGTTTGTTGTTTTCCGATGGAATGAATTAGTTTTTGTATTGCCTTATGTTTTCTGTTCATTGTAATTAAATACTCTTGTTTCTATATTATTTTTATAGTTCAACATGTGCTTGTAAAGCCAGAAGTCAAAGGTCTAGAAGGTGTAACAACAGGTCCTGCACCAAGTGAACCAGTGTAAGTAATATATAACAGGCCTCGAATTTTACTGCGGCCATTGCCGACAGTGCCCTCCCAGTTGGCCTTGGTACCCCTGAAAATGAAGCACGATGACGGCCACTACTTGCCTGCCCTTTTGCAGCCTTGGCCTCGGTGCCCTCATGACGTTTATTATAAATCGTTTGACACATAAAATAAATCTAAATAAGAACGTTCAAATCTTGAAAGAGAACACGAAAGCCAAAAACGTAGGTCGCCTAGGCATAGATAAGGTTGCAGTGACAGAACATGAGAGAATTACCATGTGTGTTGATACAAACTGTTTTTGTGGTTACCGTTGTGTGCGTATGCATCATGCAGTTGTAAAAATGTGCTTGCTGTGCAGCTAGCTTTGGGCGATGTGACATCGTCGCAACTCAAGCGTGTGAAATTAACCTAATTGGTTGACACTCGGCTAAACTAGTTGATGACGGCCAGTTTAGAGTATATTCTAACATTGAATCGATAATTAATAGTTAATACTCTAAACAAAGTCATTTTACCATTGGCAACGATTGCTTGGCTAGGCCTAGCCTGGCTACAAATCAAGGCACTCGCGAGAGATTAGTACTGAGGCTAAATCAAATTTTGATCTGGTGCTCTTTTATATTTGAAATTTTGGCCTAGGTGCCTTTCCATTTGGCCAAAATCATATCCTACCGGAGGCCATTTGGCCTTGCCCATAAAATCCCCAAATTCGAGGCCTGATATAATATAGCTACCTGTACGTACGACCCTCCATTACTGCTCTCTTCGCATTTCTGCTGAAGGGCAGGGGTTCCCAGTCTTCCGCAAGAGTCTCCTAGGACTTAATATATATCGTTTTTCTTTTTCAGTAATCTTGATTATTCAAGCCCATGGCATGATGACTTTGTAGAAGCAGTAGAACAAATCAAATTAAATTTGCATATCACACATCCATCCATGCAACACGTGCTCCAGATCTGCCAGGCGTCGTTGGGCAAGCTCCTTTTAGTGGACTTGTCCGGTGCCAGAGCCCAAGGACCAGTCGAGATCGAACACTTAAAGAATGACGCCATTCTGGAGTGTGAGAAGATGGAAGAGAAACTAATGCACAGCTGGTGGCCGGATGTTCTGAATGTGTTTGTGAATAAAAAAGACTTTGTAGATATAATGCCAGATAGTCTTGAGTCCTTCTATGCAAGTGTGTCAACTCTTATATCCAATCAGGTCAGTTTACTATTACTATACCTCGTAAATATTAATTAGGTGATAACAGCATTTCATTGGTTAGTTCCACTCTGTAAGTGGTGCGGTAGTTTCTACTCCTTCTGTGCTTGGACCAAATCTAGGCATATGCGGAGAAAGTACTACCCAAAATTGACTGCCACACATCTATGAACTGTATGAGAACTGTGTAATTGTTCGAAAGGGCTTACAGTAAAACAAATACAATGTTTTAATTTTCGTAAAGCGTCTACATCTCTTCTGGGGTGGATGCAGGATTTGGTGGTAGGGTGTGCGTGGAAATGCACACCACCTCAGCCCCACCATGGTTGGGGCTGAGATGTGAAAATTTTTTTGAATATGGACTTTAAGGTCTTACCAGTACTATATTTTTAATTATAAAAATAATATATCAACAATACAATACAACAATCATTTTCTTTAATACAAGTTTCGTGGGGTGCGATCTCACCGTTGCACCCCCCTGCATCCTCCCCAGCCCTTGTTGAATGATTGGAACTACCTTCTCGGGAGGTATTTCCAATCATCCAGTACCTCAGGAAGTAGAATTCACTATTTAGCATCAAACCATGTTTATTTGTATAAATTACTAAACTTCACCTGAATTTCTGACAAGGAATAATTGAAATATGGATGCTTACGTATGGAATATCTATTATCACTGTATTAATACCACTCTGGGGGAGAAAGTTGCATTATTTATTTTAGGGTAAGTCTGCAGTGGAAAACTTTGCATTTTATCCAGTTAAGTATTTAACTCACAAACATACATCACTTTTAATTTGTGTAATCTGTTGACTTTTGCAGCTGAAAGACCTGATAGTTCGCTCGATTGAGGCTTGGGTCAAACTATTTGAACCTGACAACACCCTCCAGTTACCGATGTTCAAGATGGAACTTACATTTGACAGCGACAAAATGGAGTTTTATCCATACTACTCAGACTTGGAGGAGTGTGTGTTGTTTGTTGTCGAGCAGTTGACGAAGACGATGCAGAATGTACCAACAGTTCAGTCTTGGTTGTCAGGCACAAACGAATTGTCTAGTATTGATATTACCATAGCCGATCATGTGATCACATGGGCCAGAAAGACGTTGAAAGAAGCCTGCAAGGCAAATTTTGAGGGCCCAACAGAAGAGTTGGATTCATACAGTAAGTTATTTGCCTTATTAATGTGAAATTTGATTTACCATACTTAGATAGATATTATGAATATCAAACTTTAAAATATTCAGGATACCTATTTGTAATTTATAATACACCAAAAGTTAAATTATCAAATCACTTCCACACTACACATGATTAAGAAATTTTAATTAACTGTCTTTATAATTTAATAAATTTATTTGTTTTTAAATTAGTGTTCATGTGTAAGTGATTTGCTAAGCATAGCTATTAGTACGTTCCATTCAAGAATTACGTCTTTTATTCCCCTAGTGGCCAAGTACAACTTCCTGTGCAATGGAGAGGCGCTGGATAGAGTGCAAAACTTTCTTTCTGAGGAACACACATTTGAAGAATCTTGTGAAGTAAGTTCTGCTCTACTTTAATCTGATAGTTCCATTCCATTTATGAGTATAACTTTGAAGGAAGGGTCATGAATGGGGGTATATTATTTGCTTATATTTATTTTATCCTAACGTTGTTTTGATCTTGGGATAAACACCAATAATTTTCATATCTATTTAGCTATATATAGAAAAGTTCATTCCACTACATGAGTATTGGACTGTTTCTCTGTCATATCTCTGGCACTCTGCACCCACCACTCTACTTCACCCACTTTCATGCAATATATCCTAAATTCCTGAAGGATTTGCTACCTACCCCCCCCCCCCCCCCCCCCCCTTAAATATGCTGCCAAAAAAGAGAACATTCCCGACTTTACATTTAAGAGAATGACCTGCCTCTTTTAGAAGTCACCCATCCCAGTTGCATAAATGTATGAATTAAATCAATATTCTTTTGTTTTAGATGATTGAGGAGTTTCAACAAATTGCTCGGAAAATTATGAATCTGGATAGCATTATTCGCTTTGATATGATCAGGCTAGATTGCGAAGATTTAAAGAAAGGGCTCGCTGACAAAGCACGTGGGTATGCTTCAATGCTGCTAGATCAAGTCGCAAGCAACCACAGGAAAGAAAACGAGAGGTATGAATAAATTCATTGATTAATATTATGAAAAATGATTACAACAATGGCAACAATTAATTTTATCTGGCTTCAGTTTTAGTATTTATTTATAATCAAAGGTAATTAAATCTTTTGCAAAGCTTTTTTGGCTGCTGGCGTGAATGGTTTTGATAATGCTTTTTGAATTACAATGTCATCCTTTGTGCATCAGTGAGTTGGTGAGAGGTAATATTGACAACACAGTGATATTGATCAGGAATAACAGTAATAGTAATAACATAAAAAGTGATAGTGATAATAGAAGTGTTTCATTCATTCATTCATTCATTCTTTATTCAGCCAATAACATAAATAAATGAATACAATACAATTAAAGGACATTTAACAACAAATACTTGAGATATTATATAACATAAGTTGGCTAGGATTAACTATAGTATGAAAAACACTCTGTCTCTCGACAGTATATATACAGACAATAATTAAATTATACAATAATAATATAAATAAAATATCTCATTAAAAAGCAAAGCATAACAGAATGAAGTAAAAATGCAATACAAGATATTATTTCGTTGTTGGCAAACCATAAAATTGTTAAAAATAGGTATATATATATAAAAGCAGTACTGTATATATTAAAATACATAAAAATTAATAAAAAGTTATAGTTACGCGTGACAAAAAAGTAATATTAAGACAATAATATAATAATGATGATTTGCAAATATACATTTATGAAATTAAATAAATCAAACTTACTGTACATTTTAAAAGCAAGGCGGAGATGTATAATACTTATTCAGTGTTATTAAACAATTACCATTATAGAGAATGAAAAATATAAATTAGTCAAAAAAACAATCTAGGCAGCTAAACAATGACATTATTAAGTAAAATATGGTTAATTTATAATTTCTTTAAATTAAATTGATTGACTGATCATCAATTTTTGTCACTCAACCTTTCATCACTAGCTAGTATTCATAAGTCCCACCATCAAATGAACATTTCTAAATTCATTTTCCAGTATTTGTCAGGAGTTTGAATGCATCAGAGACAGAGCCCTCAAAATTCCTGAAGACTCAGAGGAAATGATCAACATGATAGCTTACATTGAGAAAGCTCGCGTTGAGGGTATTAAGGGTCTCAATGAACGCATACAAGAAACGAAGCGGCGCATGAACTATCTACTCGACGTGTACTTCTTCACGCCTGAACATATGGAGCTAAACGCTACCGTACTGCTTTGGCCCCGTGAGATACAGCCTATATTTGATAAAAATGATGAGGTGAGACTGAGAAATATATATTGATTACATTTAAATTCAATTAGGTGTACATCCCACATTAGATAATATAACTAACCAATGAACTGATTTCATGTGTTGTAGTGTCTGTTTTAAGTCATCAATCATCAAGACTCCATCATAGAATGATGGAGACCGTGCGATGACTCTTTGTTTACTGGTCAGGGTTGATTTTTCTGTTGTATCGACTAGTGTTTCCACAATAATAGTTTGATTGATTGATTGATAACCTGTCCAATAAATTAACCCAGTGTCTTATGGTTTATGGTACATAAACAACTGCTGCTGTACAGCCCATTTTACAAATAAAAATTATTATTTATTTGCATGTACCTGTCACATGAGTTGTTTTGACAATGCCCCTTTAAATTGGGGGCACTTATGGTTCATTCATCCATTAAAAAAAAAAAAAAAGATAACCTATTAAAATTGAAACTTACAATCAATGAGCACTACACAAATACTATGTTTTTTTGTAAATACATTAAAGTACAGCTCACAGTAAGTTAACATCCACTGTGTTTTGTTTATTAACGATCAAAACGATTCTACAGTGGAAAGTACAGTTACTGATGATTGACGAGGCTGGTAGACTTTTACTCTTTAATTACAAACTAAAAGCACTGTCTGACCATCAAAGCACCTCCATGCTCAGACGTCAGAAGTAATAAAAAGAATGTAAAATAGACCTTCTGTAGGATGCAGTAAAGAGTTGTATCCAAAACAAACTCCTGAGAAGAATGTCAACCAACTAATCAATAACCCTTAACAGTCCCTTATGATTAATGGTACATAAACAATTGCTGCTGCACAAGTTAACAACTACTGTGGATTAGGAAATTTGTTTAATCCTCATTTTGAGGTTGGCAAGTAACTGTTTACAGTTACTTAGAACAAGGAGGTATACCTTCTTGCTTAGAAGCACATGATAGTAACTTTGGTGTGCAGAAAATTTGCAGAAACACCTCTAGCCTAGTGGTGATTGAAGTTGGTAATATGTTTCTCAGGAAATGTCAACACATTTGTCAATTTTTCTATTAGAAGATGTATGCCTATGAATGTAAGTCTGTTTGATTTTTTCCCAGTTTCCTTGCTATTAATATATCAGTAATGCAATGAAAGATTTTCTTTTCACCACAATTAAAATTTCAAACCAAGGTAAGAATTAAAAAAAAACCATAAAAATATGAAAAAAAATAGCACATCAGTTCCAGCACAAAGGACAACGATATGAAAAATGTACAGGATTTGTGCTGTAATATATAAGATTATTTTAATAGGAAAAAAACCTGAACATCATTAAAACAATAATAATCTGTGAGAGTAGGTTTTATGGAACTGTCTTATTGAGAAACAAATGGATCAGCTAGACTTGCTGACACTTTATCTTTACTACCAAAACATGATGGACATCGCAAGCTCATAATTGTGTAAATTATATATGAGACAAACATGTCTGTTTATTACTATTAGGCTTTGAAATGCTATGGATAACAATTGCATTAACTATTACTGAAAGCAAACATACTGTTTATGTAACTATAGTCTGCTGAGCATAGCTACATTGTACAATGTACACTACACAGCTGTCAGTCCTGTGAGTGAATTGAATGTGAATTTACTACTTTAGTTGTTTTCATTCGCATTCGCATCTTTAAAGTCTCTCTATAATAAATCCTTTACTTCAGTTTAAAAATTATCCCTACTATTCTTTCTCTTTTCATTTGTGTTATAAACAACTTTCAATTTGATAATTTTTAAAATGTCTTTTTTTTTCTATTTTCTATTTTTCCAGCTTGTTGATGCCTCAAAGAAGAAAGGCGAGAGTTATGTCCTCGAACAGAGAGAGAAGTGCATGTTGGAACTTGAGAAGATTCGCAAGAGGGTTGCGGAGTTTTCTGAGTACGGTGAAATGGATATGATGGTGCAGTATGTTAATGATATACGCGCTGTTCAAAAGAGACTTGCTGAATCTCAGGAAACCATTAACTGGGTTAATAAGGTACGGTATAAACGATTTAATTTGTTTTTATTCTTGTTGTTTGTTAGTTGCATAAATAACTTATTGCCTTTTGTGGTACATTAAGTAATTTTTCAAGATATCTAATACATCATTAAAATATGTTATAGAAGTTTCCCTTCAATAAAAGACCACTTTTGGGGCAGCAGAGAAGTTTGAGGGGTCTTAAATTGTTAGAGATCTGTATATATTTTTGAACTTTTTCATGACCTTAGCACTGAAATCGCAATGTAACAATGTGAAGGGCATAGATATATTATAAGATACATTTTACTTGGTAAGATGTAGTATTATAATTACGTTACTAGTAGTTAAACTTTCTGCGATGATTCAAGTCCTGCCAAATTAATAGCGTTGGGTAGAAACATAATTATTATACAATCAAATATTAAAGTTGCAATAACATTAACAAGAGTTTCCTAATTTGTATTTGTTTACACATTGTTTATATGGATGAGGATATTTTATGTGTATTATCTGTTATGTTACTAAAGGGTAATCAAACTTGAATAACACGTCATTAATTATTAAACTGAATTATTGTTTTTGGCATTCATAGGAGGAGGCGCTATTCAAGTGGGATCTGACGACATACCCTGAGATTGAGGAGATCACCACAGCAATTGAACCATTCAAGAAACTCTTCTCATTGGTTGTCAAGTGGCAGAGGGCGGACAAGAAGTGAGCAGATTTATCTATTATTTATCTTAGGCTATGTTCCCACAGGATCCAGATCCTGCTAACCGTTAGCTGCTGTGTGTACATACGAGAAACTCCCGATCCGGATACCTAGAATATAATGATCGAATCACTGGCCAATAAGACACTGGAAATTGTAAACACGTACGTGTGATTGGTTGATGATAGAAACGCACTCAACTTGCTAACCGATTGCGCTTGCTAACAATTAACAGTATTCGGATACCGCTAATGGTTAGCGCTAACCGATCGGGCGTTCGGTTATGACATGACAATTATGACAGAAATTTTTCTGCTGAAGTCAAAATGTTCCTGTGCAATGTACTCTATTGATATTTCCACATTTCCTTATAAATTTCCCTTCTATATTTATACTTAAATCTTACGAAAGTTTATGATATTTATTTTTTTTAGATGGATGGATGGTGCTTTCCTTGAACTTGAATCAGAATCCATTCAGGAGGAAGTGGATGAGTTTGCAAGAGACATCTACAAGATAACTAAAGTGTTTGTAAATCAGAAGAAAAAAGAGGATGCTGAAAAAGAAAAGAATGCACCAAAGAAAAAGAAACGAATAGATGATGCCGAACAGAAGGACCAACCTCAAGAGGAAGGTATGGCAGCCATCAAAGTTTGCAAGATTGTTCAAGATCAGATTGCTGAGTTTAAGGTGAGAGCAACTGTATAGAAAGTTCAAGTGGTTTATTTTAACAAGGCCCTAGATCTCACACTCCAAGTACCCCGTAAGGGAGGGAAGGTGGTAGCCACTGTGTACTGAATAGTGGAGGTCAGTGCTCTCTCCTTGTATTTCAGATGGAGGGCTGAAATCCAAGTTATGATAGCGCACTGTCTTTGGGATTGGACGTTTAAGCTGATTGGTCCTGGGTGCATTATTGCCCATGTGCATGTTAAAGAATGCAGTACATTCAATGGGAAAAGAGTAGGGGATTGTTCCTGGTGTACTGCCCAATCACCACCAGAAGAACCCATGGGAAATAAGTCTTCTTCAGGCTTTCGTGGGTTATCCTTGGTGTTCACACCGAATGAACTCATCCGTTCATCTTCCATCCATCCATCCAAAGGTGTAAAATCAAACATACTGTAAAACCTTGAATTGAAGCCCAATGGGCTTAATCTTGAGAAGAAACCCATCTTGAATTGAAGCCCACCTCTTCAGTTTGCAAAATTAGCCTTGAAAAAAAGCCCAGGGGCTTCTTTTCAAGATAGCATAGGCTTCTTTTTCGAGATAGTACAGTACATACACTGTACATGAATTTCATAGAAGCAAAATAAATTAAAACCATGCTTGGTATATACAGTAGTTTACAGAACAGACTATAATGCTGATGCCCAATACTGTAGTAACATTTATGAAATTCAGACATTGGTTTCATTGTCTGCTGTATAATTAAATATAAGTTTGATGTCCCCTTTATAAGCACCATGGTTTTAGAATCTAGCATAGAGACAGCTGTATTATGCACCTTATAAATCCATTGATTGATGGATAGTCTTTATGTCTGTTAACCGTGAGTCGACCATAAGCATAAAGTTCTTTCCAGATTATCAAATTTTCTGTGACAAAAAACTGTTGTATGCCCATATATAGTCATGATGTGCCTATATATGGTCATGATGTGATGTCATCAAGACCATATTTAGGCATGTCACATGTTCTTGTCAAATAACATTTGATAGTCTGAACAGGGCTTTAGTCCTAAAATGTATAATTTTGTGTAACCATTGTATATGTCATCCCCAAAAGTATGTCGGAACAAGTGCTAATGGTGTGCCTACTAATTTTTCTTATACAATAATAATAATAATAATAATAATAATAATAATAATAATAATAATACCATATTTATATAGCGCCTAACAGATCACAGATCCCTCTAGGCGCTTTACAATTCTTAATTTAAGTTACAATATATACTTATATACTTATTTGATCTCTCTTTTAGGATTACATTCCTACAGTTTCAATTCTTTGTAATCCTGGCATCAGACAAAGACATTGGGACAAGATGTCTAGTATTGCTGGATTTGATCTCACACCAGACTCCGGCACTACACTGCGAAAGGTTCTGAAGAAGAATCTTGGATCCTTCATGGAGGAATTTGAATCGATCAGTGCAGGTGCTACCAAGGTATAAAAAACTTGAACTTACTGAGAAAATATATATCTGGGATACTTTGCCAAAGAAATAAGAGACGAACTCATTTTCAGCTCAACTTAAACATATTTTCTAATCGACTTAAAAACCACTTTGTAGAGATTTAAAAATTGTAATATAAACAAATTTTAAACGTATAGATGAAGTTCTAATTTATCGATGAAATATTATATTTTAACTTGAAACAACTTATTTTGTCTTTAAGTTTTTTATTATTGTTTATATTATTTTGATGCTAGCAGCACTTTGCAGAGCTCACAGAGAGTAAACTTAACGCCACTTTTGAGCAGTCCCATCTGGTGTTCGCTAGAATTGTTTCTTTCCTGTTTTTCTTTCTTATTGTTGTTTATCTGTTATGAAGACAAACTAAATGATATGATACGATATAATATAAAAATAATTATGTTTTTTTTTTTAATATTCTTTATAAATCTCATTTATTATGATCAGCAGGCACATCTAGATATAAAGTGCTTGTTTTATGTTTCCGTTCTTTAAACGGGGCTTCCCATTGTTGGATGCGAATTGAAATATAATAAAGATAAAGATTTCCAAAAGTTGACCTACCCGCACTGCTGTCCCAAGGCAATCCAATGTACTCTTATTATATTTTTGTTAAGTTACGTTGTTTTGCCTTGGAACAGCCGCACTCTTTCAACTTGGCTTTTTAAATCTTTTTGAAGGAAGTATTGAAAAATATTGATTAGTTAGTGTTTAAAAGTATGACGTATTTTAAAACCAATATAATAGCACTTTAGATGTTTAGTACAATTTTAAAGTATCATGTAAATATTTTAGGAATATTCATTGGAAAGAGCAATGCAGAAGATGAATGAAGAGTGGGAATCAGTGTCCTTCAATCTGACAACATACAGAGATACAGGAATCAACATCTTGGCATCTGTTGATGACATCCAAACAATGCTTGATGATCAGATCGTAAAGACTCAGACAATGCGAGGTTCACCGTTTATCAAACCATTTGAAAGGGAAATCAAGGTAATTTTCCATTTTTGAAGTGCTCTGCTCCTTTTTGACTGGTCCTCAGGAATTTAGTTTTCCCAAAAAGTTTTGTTACTTGCTCTTCTATTTATTTTTCTATTATAATTCTGCTATTTTATTTACTTGTTCCATTTTTTAGTGATGAAATAATTTTTTCTTATAAAGAAAATAATAGATTGTTGAGAAAATGGATTTTTTCCATTTGGACACATTTCTTTGCTTAGAATATTTTAGAATACAAATGATAGGTAATTCAGATGATAGTAATTTTGTTATTGAAAACCACTTCAACTTAATGATATATATTTTGAGGAGAACATGTTTCCCAATCAAGGCTCGAACTCAATACCCTCTGATTACTTTTAAATTCTTTACCAAATGATCTATCAAGCCAAGGTATACTCTCATAGATTTAGGATTTAGTAAAATGATTGCTAATATCATTCTTAACTTTATTAAGGAATGGGAAGAAAGGCTACTCCGAGTACAAGAAACAATTGATGAATGGTTGAAAGTACAAGCTCAGTGGCTGTACCTGGAGCCTATCTTTAGTTCTGAGGACATCATGCAGCAGATGCCTGAAGAGGGCAGGCTCTTTCAGACTGTGGACCGCAACTGGAAGGACATCATGAAGCACACCAGTAAAGACCCCAAAGTACTGAATGCTACCTCTCTGGGAGGTATGCTGGAGAAACTACAGGACAGTAATAATTTGCTGGATAGAATCCTGAAAGGTCTCAATGCCTACCTGGAAAAGAAGAGATTGTTCTTCCCAAGGTTAGTGATTGACATCAAATCGGGTGTAGAGACAATCTAAGTAGACCTGTGCTACACCCACCTTTCTATGCAATCTAACAGTTCAAGGTTTTAGACGAATGGATAAAAAGGATTATGTTATTCTTATCATTATAATACAAATATTCGTAGATTGGCATCTATGATAGGCACCCACACAATCACGTCATTTCATGCATGCCTTACTTAGGTCTCCGACTTACTCTAGGCTAGGTTTGCTGAAGGATCAGCCAAAGATCAATATTAGTTTCGAAACAAGCAAATATGTTCCAATGCTTTCAGACTTTCTGCACTTTTGGTCATAGTCAAACATTTTATTGTGTTTTCAGATTCTTTTTCTTATCGAATGATGAAATGTTGGAGATCTTGTCAGAGACCAAGGATCCAACACGAGTCCAGCCTCATCTTAAGAAGTGCTTTGAAGGCATAGCAAAGCTGGAGTTCACGCCATCTCTCGATATCCTATCAATGTTCAGTAGTGAGGGTGAAAGGGTGAAACTAAGCCAAGTTATATCCACCTCAGAAGCCAGAGGTGCCGTAGAGAAGTGGTTACTACAGGTGCAAGACATCATGATGATCAGTGTCAGAGATGTCATAGAGTTGTCTCATGAGGTATAGATGCCTGATTATATTTATCATTTTATTTAGATGTTGGATAAGCAAGTCAGTAACATCATTTCTGCTCCAGAGTTCTGAATTTTTATTAATAATTAGGTCTATTTCATGAATACTTACCTGTAGTTGGCCTACGCATCTTCTCATACTGTACGCCGCCCCCCTGCCCATATGCATGAAGTTCGCAGCTCTGTTGCGTTTTGGGCTTTGTTACGTGGGGTTCCACTACCGGATGTTCTTTAAGCAGCATGGTGGCGTTCAGACACAACTTTCTCCTCCTTCTACTTGAAGGATGTTCTTGCCTCCGAGGCTTCAGTATCTGAGGCAGTTCTTCGTCCTTCGCTATAGGTATGTACCTTCATTCGTGATTGATCTCGCCCTCCACCGTTTGCTGGTGCTAATCTGGCATTTATTGGTTTATCCAGGTAAGTATTCACAAAAATAAACTAACAACATCTCTACTGATTTGTTTAGTTTTCACAAATCAGTAGTGATGTTTTTAGTCTATGAGTGAGATACTTACATGGATAAATGCCCTCCCTCGTCCCTCGCTGAGATCTGTTATAGACTTGAAGTCAACAAAGATATTGTTTATTCACGCAGGGCGTATATAGGCGAGCTAGGGCGAGTCCATTATTTTCCTTTTATGCTCGAGTGGTAAGTTCAAAAGGAAACTTAAGCATTTATCACTTTATCCAGGTAAGTATCTCACTCATAGACTAACAACATCACTACTGATTTGTTTAGTTTGTGCTATATCGATTAAATTGTTAGATGTTTCTGCAAGATTCTTATTTACTAGTGCTTTTATTTATTTTTTATAGGCATATGCTATAGAGGCAAGAGAAGATTGGGTCCAAGAATGGCCAGGCCAAGTTGTACTCTGCATTTCCCAAATCTACTGGACAATTGAAGTTCATGAGGCCATTCGAGGAGGACCTCAAGGTCTTCGTGAATACTACTCCAAACTACAGAGCCAGCTTGCCGATATTGTCAAGCTTGTCCGAGGCAAGCTCTCCAAGCAAACGAGAACAACACTAGGTGCACTGGTCACCATCGATGTCCATGCCAGAGATGTCGTGGAAGAGATGGCGGACAAGGGAGTAGCGTCAGAGAATGACTTCAATTGGCTGGCACAGCTGAGATACTACTGGCAGTCAGCAAATGTTGATGTCTGCATTATCAATGCTACAGTCAAATATGCTTATGAATATCTAGGAAACTCTGGCAGGTTTGTTTATACTTTGGATGGCTTATCAATTTGATTTAATATGATATACAGAAGATGATGATGTTGATGATGATAAAAAAAACGATAATAATTTCAATGATGATGACATTTGATATAGACAATTACATTAATAAGTATTACAATAAAAATAATTGAAACAGTGATTATCACCACCATTATCATTACCACCATTACTATGTTGATCATCTTCATCATCATCACTATTTTTAAAACCACCTTCATTATCATCGTCTTCATCATAAGTATCGATCATTATCTCCATCGTTCATTATCATTTAGGTTCAAAACACATTTATACCTTCTGTAGAAGCAATTAATATTTGACATAAACCAGATGTGAATACTCTTTCTCACTTTTTCCAGATTGGTTATCACTCCGCTAACAGACAGATGCTACCGAACATTGGTTGGAGCATACCACTTGAACTTAGGGGGTGCTCCAGAAGGCCCAGCAGGTACAGGCAAAACTGAGACAACCAAAGATTTGGCAAAGGCCCTAGCAGTGCAATGTGTTGTGTTCAACTGTTCCGATGGTCTTGATTACCTGGCAATGAGCAAGTTTTTCAAAGGTTTAGCTAGTTCTGGTGCCTGGGCCTGCTTTGATGAATTCAATCGTATTGAGTTGGAGGTCTTGTCTGTCGTGGCTCAACAGGTAGGTACCAGAGTGACGACGAATCTAACTCCGCTCCCTGTAAGCGTTAGACGATGCAACACCGTCTGCTAATTGCCGGAGGCAGTCTGAACGGATCGTCAATAAAAACGGTCCATTGCTTGCGCATCGTCACATTGAGTTCATTATAGGATCGGCGGCTGATGGCCATCGGGCACAGTGAGTACCTGGCTTGACCCTCTACAAGAGCTGTAAAAACTACTCAGTCTCTACTGTCTTGTACATTACAGTCATCTTAGACCTCTGTCCATCCCTCCTCGCTGCGTATTCCTGTCCGAATCATTTGATACCAGGCAGTAAACTCTTGTGTACGTTACTGGTATTGATAAATTTCTTTGTTATTACCTTCTGGTATCCATATAACTTCTTGATATTTGTCTATTTGCATTATTTGTTTTTTTTTTCCAGATTCTGTGTATCCAGCGAGCTGTGATGACTCACATGGAGACCTTCATTTTTGAAGGAACTGAATTAGTTCTGAGACCATCCTGCTTTGTTGCCATCACGATGAACCCAGGTTATGCAGGAAGATCCGAACTACCTGACAATCTTAAGGCGAGATATTTTTTGTCTTATGCAAATAAGCAGATTTATCGCAATACATTTTTGAGTAGATTGATGGAGGAAAATATGTAAATGGTATTTATTACATAAATAAATGCATTTTAATTATCTTATACATAGAGCAAGCTTAATTTTATACTTGCCTGGATTAACCTACGTAATTTTTTCTACAATTGAAAACTCTACATTTCTGCAGTATATTTTTGGTGAAATTAATTTGTATATTAATTTATACTTCCTCCGACCTTGCTGTCGATTTTGTTTGTTTCCTTCACTCATTGCATTTTCTTTGCATTTAGGAATCGTCTACCCATTTTATTCTGTAACTCATTAGAGTACTGTTAAATTATATACAGGTACAAAGAGAACATGCCTTTTATCGAGTCTGTTTTTGTAAATACAAAAAGCAATAGAGAACACCTTTGAAGAAAATGAAACTGCACATCTCAGGGCATCTCATGTTTATCTAAATTGTGTTCTGTTTGTAGGTATTGTTCCGCACAGTAGCCATGATGGTACCAAACTATGCGATGATTGGAGAGATCATGCTGTATTCGTACGGCTTCATCGATGCTCGTAACTTGTCAGTGAAGATTGTCACCACATACAGTTTGTGTTCCCAGCAGCTGTCCTCACAGTTCCATTACGACTACGGTATGAGGGCAGTAAAAGCTGTCCTTGCTGCTGCTGGTAACCTCAAGTTGAAGTTCCCTGATGAAAATGAGGACATTCTGGTAAATTATCTTAGCTATATTGTTCAGCTAATTTTATAACTGTTTTCTCTATATTTTCTGAATGCAATGCATAAATAATTCATCACAATGCACACATATATTCCCTTTACGTACTACTTTGTAATAACAACTAAAGCCTTGTCTAGGCTATCAAATTTTATTGGAAGAAAATGTGACATGTCTAAATATGGTCATGATGACATCACATCATGACCATAAATGGGTACATCATGACTATACATGGGCAGTTTTTTTGTCAAAGAAAATTTGTTAACCTGAACAGGGATTAATACATCTTCATTCATAAAGTCACTATATTTATCTATACATTAATTTTGCAAGTTACACTTTTATGATCAATTTCTCTTTGTCCCTGATTGGAAACTTGACTCCAATTTCTAAATATTTTTTTTCCCAGAAGTGATTATTTCCAAGGAAAAAGCTAAATAGTTAATTTGTGTGAATAATTCAAAGTGCATTTAAACATAATTTAATTGTGGATGACCTGTTTTAATATATTTTGATTGATTGATTGATTTATCTGTATTTTCACTTTACACAGCTGCTGAGGTCAATTTTGGATGTGAATTTGCCCAAGTTCTTGTCTCACGACATTCCATTATTTGAGGGGATCATCTCAGATCTCTTCCCGGGAGTTGTGCTCCCACAAGCAGACTACAAAGTGTTTTTGGATAATGTTCGTGAGGTGTGCCAAAAGAACAACCTGCAAACAACCGAAAATTTCATGGAGAAGATTATTCAGACATATGAGATGATGATTGTCAGACATGGGTAAGGGTCAGATATTTAGAAATATATTTATTCAGCTATTCTGGAGTGAAACTTGGTGATTAAGACGCTTGCCTTTCATTGGCTAAAAAAACTTCCAAAACCTCATTATCGAATATAATTTAAAGAGCACACTGCACATGGCAAATTTAATACTTGAAATACAAGTTCATTTTTGCCAACATAATTAACAATGGTATACTGTTTACAGTAGTGGCTCATGGATTTTTCCGACAGGGGGTTAAACAAATCTGAGAAGGGTGTGAACAAAGAGCCTCTGAGGCCTCCAGTTGTGATGCATTGTGAAGTTTTTAGAGGGGGAGATTTTCTGAATTAGGATAATTTTAAACTATGTTAGGAAGTTATAATCTGTGGCATAAACAATTTATGTACTTTAATTTTATTTTGTAAAAAGGTTTATGTTGGTTGGTGGACCCTTCGCTGGCAAGACAAAGGTGCTGCATACACTGGCAGAAACTCTTACTCTGCTTCACGAACGTGGCCTAAATTCAGAGGAGAAAGTAATCTACCGAACGGTTAATCCAAAATCGGTAACCATGGGGCAGCTGTTTGGCCAGTTTGATCCAGTGTCTCATGAGGTACAGTAAGAATAACAATTGCATTGTAGAGTACTAATTCATTAAATTATAATAGTGATAATTCACCTTGGAAAAATGAGAATCGGTTTCACATGCTTGCATAATTGTGCGTACAGTAGGATTTTCGCATTAATATAGGTTAATATGCAGTAAATATATAAATGAAATAATAAACATCCATGTATACCTAGTTGAGACATACCGTCAATGAAATTTTGTATTACAATGAAATAGATGTTAAATGATATATTTGAGAAGTCCTATCGGAATTCAAAGCCAATAAAGTTTTGGCTGCTCTACTACTGTAATTGTCCTATGAGATTACTGTAACTTAGGCCTAGTATATTTTTTTTTTTCTATATTGTAGCTGTATGTGAATTATACATTTTATGGTTTTGTTTTTTTATATTACAGTGGACAGATGGTATAGTAGCAAATACGTTCCGTGAGTTTGCGTCCACTGAGACCCCTGACCGTAAGTGGGTGGTATTTGATGGGCCGATTGACACACTGTGGATTGAGAGTATGAACACGGTACTGGACGACAACAAGAAGCTGTGCTTGATGAGCGGCGAGATCATCCAAATGTCGAACACGATGAGTTTAATCTTCGAAGCAATGGATCTTTCTCAGGCATCTGTGAGTATGAAACAGTTATGAAACTGCTATGTACTTGTATAATTGATGTCTTATAGCAAGTTTAAAGGAACAAATAATCTCTGTTGCAAATAACACGGGCTGGTTTTTATTGTAGTGGATTAGTAAATTCTTCTGATTAAAACAATTTGTTAAGACTTACTTGCTACAAAGCTGGTGTTAGCTGTCTTTTGTGTGACATTGCTGGTTGAGGGGGCTACATACCACCTAGCGACGTTACACAAAAAAAAACCAGCTCGCACCAGTTTCAGTGCCTGATGAAGATTTACTGGAAGTAAATCGAAACATAGCAATTATGTATAATAAATTGGTGTTATCAAAAGAATTTACTAATCCATAACAAGGTCATGTCTCAGATTTAAAAAAAATCATCATTTATTAATAATTGTTGAATAGCTATAGGATAATCACTAAATGACACAAACAAATCCATATAGTTTCTTTTTGTATGAAGGAAATACTGTTGATTATTTCTTCTCTAGCCTGCTACTGTGAGTCGCTGTGGCATGATCTACTTAGAGCCCAGCAACTTGGGCTGGAGGCCTGTCTTTGAGTCTTGGCTGCATGACTTACCTGAGGCCTTACAAAAGGAAGTTCCCCTGATGAGGGGTCTGTTCAACTGGTTGCTAGAGCCTTGCTTAACCTTTATTAGGAAGAACTGTAAGGTAAGATGTGTTTATTTTTTTAATTCATATGGCAACTAAAACTGATTCAATTAAATTACAGTTATTAAAGATAGATCAGTAATTTTAAAAAAAAACAGCTGGGTATTATTTTTATAACGGTATTTGCAATTTATCAAACAAAAGAAAGTTTCAACTGCTGTCAAATAGAATAAACTTTACAGTCTTAAATTAATGTATTCAGGCCTACATATATAAAATATACCAATAGAAACTGTAGAAATAGATAGTTGGTGATTCCAAACTGATCATAACATAAACCAAAAAAAATGACACAAATATGAGTAATTATTGGATTTAAAGGAATGTATGAATTTATCATATATAAGGTTATTATTTGTTTTGTTATGTATCTTACAGGAGTATGTTCCAAGTATGGTTAATAACCTAGCACAATCGTTGATGCATTGGGTACGGATGTTCCTCAAGGATAATATGAAAGAAGGAGCTGAGAACAAAAACCTCAAGATTTGGATTGTGGTAAATACACTTTCCACTAGATTAATACTACTGAAAGTAGTTGTATAGCTGTGTTAGTCTGAGCAATAATAGTAATAGAAGTAATGATGAGGTGCACTTTGAGACTAACTTTCCAGATGTGTCTAATAACTGACATCTTGAAAATTAGTCAACGGATCCTGTCAATGACAGCTGTGTGTCTTCTAAAGAAGACACGTACTTCAGTATTAATGGTAACAGTGCTGTATACAGGAATACCTGATGAGTGGCCCTCTCAGTGCAGAGGCTGTTTGCAAAATTCTAACCAAATTGTTTTTAAAATTGATTCCATTTTAGAGCACGTTCTTGTTCTCTTTGGTCTGGTCTGTTGGAGCAACTTCCGATGCTCCTGGTCGCGAAAAGTTTGACAGCTTCCTTCGAGAGTTGATGTCAGGCAAAGCAGAGGAGCATCCTTTTCCTGCTGAGCTTGGGGGAAAGATTGAGGTTCCTTTTCCACCAGATGGTCTTGTGTATGACTACATGTTTGAGGTAGGTTACAAAGAAGTACTCAACACATTTCATATTATTTGTTTGTTTTTTTTACTGTATTTGCTAATGTCAGGATGCTTGGTAATACACATTTTGAAATAGCCAGCGACAGGTTCTGTGTTAGGAAAATAAAATGGAATTTTATGCTAAGGCTTCAATGACATTGGTTCTTCTGATTTGTAACTATTCCAGTATAAAGCCAGAGGTCGTTGGGTGCATTGGAATGACACAATCAAGAACTTGTCCATTCCTGAGGGAAAGAAAGTTCAGGAAATCATCGTGCCAACAATGGATACAGCTCGCTACACTTATCTACTGAATTTGTCCATTAAATACCAAAGGTTAGTGGCTTCCAGCTCTAGCAACTTTGTACTTAATTTGATAAATATAACAATACTGTTGTGAATATCTTTTTTTTTTATATCCCAAATTCATCATGTATAATAGTGATTAACTTTTAACCTTTGCAGGGCAATTATTTTTATTGGCCCCACTGGTACAGGTAAGAGTGCCTATGTGAAGGATAAATTGATGAATCATCTCTCGAAAGATGATTACCTTCCACTATTTATCAACTTCTCAGCTCAGACATCAGCTGGACAAACACAGGTAAATTCACCTTTTCCTCAATACATTATTCAACTCAAGAGTATACTGTACATTAAAGTATGAATAATACTATATTAAACTAAATAAATGTAACATAGTTTTCCTCAATCCTCATGTGTAAATTGGCAAATTTATTCTTAGTTACACTATATGTTTATTGTTACCTTAATTCTGATTATGTTAACAAATGAAGCTGCATTGAAAAATGAAAGTGTGTTGATTAAAGAATTTTAGAATATGTCCCATAATACCTACACATTTACTGTACCCTCTTTAGTAACGCCTATCTGGTTATTAGCTTCGACCAGCATATTTTCTTTACACTGAGCATTCTTTTCTTAAATGTATGTGATCTTGTGAATATGAAACATTTTAAGAGTGAACTGGACTACTTTAATATGATAAAGAAATATTTCACTATTTTTTATAAGCAGTTAATAATTACATATTATTTCTTTCTGTATTTCTAATAGGACATCATTATGTCAAAATTAGACAAGCGACGTAAAGGTATGTACGGTCCACCTATGGGAAAGAAGTCAGTCATATTTGTTGACGACCTGAACATGCCAGCTAGAGAGAAGTATGGAGCTCAGCCTCCAGTTGAGCTGCTCAGGCAGTATTTTGATCATGGTAACTGGTAAGTATATTTACTGAAATTTCATTACTCACTGATTTTTTTTTCTGATTGTTATTCCATAAAAACCGAATAATGCCAAAACTAAATAGTGAGATATCGTTCGATATCCTCGATACTGTTGAATATATTTTTTGCTTTTGTTTTGCAGGTATGATAAGAAAGACACATCAAAGATAACGTTAGTTGATCTTCAGTTTGTATCCGCAATGGGGCCGCCTGGAGGAGGACGTAATCCAATCACACCGCAGTTTCTCCGTCATTTTAACATTGTGTCAATCACGCCTTTCAATGATGAGACCATGTCTCGTATCTTCTCTTCTATTGTCAGTTATTATCTTAGGGTGAGTTTATGATTGATTTAAATAATGTCTTTTTACACATAAACCATAATACCTCTAATAATAGCTAATAGAAGGTCATCACTTTTTGTGTATGATCAAACTTCGTATATTTATATAAACACTTTATTATTCAATCCTGTAAAGGGTGACATTGGTCACTGTTGGAATTTGATAAAATAAAATTTTAAAAATAGATAAAATAAAGGAACACAACTTAAAACTAGCATCCCAAAAGGACAATGCAACAAAATAGTCATGAACATCATATGTAGCAAGAATGCTAACATCAGAGCTAAATGACCCACAATGCGATGCTTTGAATATATAAACTGTACTTCATTTCAATTACATTATTATCTGTTGACAATCTGAACTTACATAAACAAGTGAAGAGAATTCTGCATCTAAATATCAGTGTTAGCATTTTTTGAATCAAACTATGTGCAAGATGTAAATTGTCGGATAAGCTTACAAAGTTTTTTTCTGTACATTTTAGGCAAATGAATTTCCACCAGATATATTCACTAGTGGTTCGATGGTTGTTCAGGGTACAATGGAAGTGTACAAGCAAGCGATGGATAACCTATTACCAACACCAGCTAAATCACATTACACATTCAATCTGCGCGATTTTGCTCGTGTCGTGAATGGTGTGTTGTTAGTAAAGAAGCCGTCAATAGAAAACAAGAGAACTTTTACTAGGTTGTGGGTACATGAAGTCTTCCGGGTTTTCTATGACAGATTGATAGAGGATTCAGATAGACTGTGGCTTTTCAAGTAAGTTTAACTTGTATACATAGATTGACACATTTTTTTCCCAAATATTCATTTGCATGATATTTCTGCAAAATCTATTGAATTAGCATAATATTCATTACAGAGAAGTTTCAAGTGGAGTTTGCCTTCTTTTTTTATGATTTCTACAAGTGAAATATGTGAACTTTTATTTCAGCCAATTGATTACTTTTAGAATATCCACTATTGCCTTGATCTAAGAAAACAACTGCAAAGTATTACAGAGTTTTGGGATAATATCTAACAAGTGTCTTGTAAAATTATTATGTTTGTAAATTATAATCCTATTTTCATATTTTTATCTTTTTTCATTTTCAGTCTTTGTAAAAACCTAGTTAAAGAAGTCTTCAAAGACAACTTTGACACAGTATTTGAACATCTGGCGAAGCCGAACTGCGCAGTAGTTGAAGACGACATGCGTAGCTTGATGTTTGGCGACTACCTGGTGGCAGATGCTGAGCCTGAAGACCGCATCTACCAGGAAGTGAAGTCTGTGGAAGAGTTTAGCTCCATTGTGGAGTCATGCCTAGTTGAGTATAATCAGATGCACAAGACTCCAATGAATCTAGTTATATTCAGGTACAGTACTATCAAATTCACATTCTTTTATCTGAGTTTTAAGGAAGGTGTACATATTGTTTGTAATACCAACATTGAGTCAACCTTCGGCATGCGTAAGGTACTCAACTGGTTTTCATATAATTGCTACATCCTGTTGACTATAGCTTTTGTGACAGATTAGCAATTTTTTGGAAACCAGGCCTAATACCAGTTCATCTTCCAATTCCAAGGTCTTGGGCTGACATATTCAAAGTGCTTGGGCTGACTTTTTTACTTTTCTTTACCTGGGTATTTGCCTCACTTTTCTATTTAAAACTTTCTTTATGCTACAAGCCTTTATGATTTATTGAATCATTTTTAACACTTTGTTTATTTCCTCCTTATTTTTAGATATGTTTTGGAACATCTTTCTCGTATTTGTCGTGTGTTGAAACAGCCTGGTGGTAATGCCCTTCTAGTAGGTGTTGGAGGCAGTGGAAGGCAGTCTTTGACAAGGCTGGCTACATCAATGTCTGGTTTCAATCTCTTCCAGCCAGAGATCTCGAAAAGCTATGGCAAAAATGAGTGGAGGGAAGATTTAAAAGTAAGATATGCATTTTATTCAATGTAATGGATTATAAAAGAACACATACTGTGATTCTTAAGCTTTCTCTAAACTGATGAAGAATTACATGATTTTTAGAACCAGAGAATGCTAAAATGAGCATAAGAACACTGTTTTAAATAATTATACAGTATTGCTTTTTTCAGACACTTTCATTGTGGAATTTCTTGCTATACCTTACACTGATCACACTATATTTTATAGCAACTAAATGTCATGCTAATCATGTCTATATTTCTATCATGATAAGTGGAATTTTGTACAAGAAATAGTGTTTAAAAAACTTTATTTTTCGTATTTTAACTTTTTCAAATTATAACTTCAGTATAGAAAAGGGCTGTTTTGATTATATTTTTAATAATTGTAATTTTTCAGACACTGTTAAAGAATGCTGGTGCCTTTGGAAAGACAACCGTTTTCTTAATTACTGACACTCAGATCAAAGAGGAATCCTTCCTAGAAGACATTGACAACCTTTTGAATACTGGTGAGGTCCCAAATCTGTATGCTGTGGATGAAAAACAGGAATTAATGGAGGTAATAATGTGCAGGAATTTATACCATCCAGGTGCTGACAATGTTATTATTACCCTTGGTCATTATTCTGATATTGAGAAACCTGTACATAGCGCAGCCCTTTCCCGTCCTTTAGCAGTTTAGTTTGTGCTGCATTGCGAACAGACAATTAATAACAACTCTGTATCTTTCAAATATTGAAATTTCAAATGAGTTATAATAAAATATTGAGCTGTATAAATGAAACTACTTTTTTTATTTGATACCTAGGCAGTAAGACCTGTCGCACAAGCCGGCGACAAAAATGCAGACTTCAGTCCGCTAGCTCTCTTCAATTTCTTTGTCAACCGATGTCGTGAAAACCTTCACATCATTATTGCATTCTCACCGATTGGAGATGCCTTCCGTAACAGGCTTCGCCAGTTTCCATCTCTCATCAATTGCTGTACAATCGATTGGTTCCAGGTAGGTTCATGTTACTCAAAATAACTAGTACTTAATTTGATAGAATAATTTTGTTGACAGGTGTAATTTGAATACGACTTTTGTCAATTTTAGGCCTGGCCTGCTGATGCTTTGGAAAGAGTTGCCATGAAATTCTTGGAGAATGTTGAGATGGAGGACGAGGAAAGAACTGAAGTTGTCTACATTTGCCAACATTTTCATACCAGTGCAAGAAATCTATCTGAGAAGTAAGTGAGATGGCAAAATTAAATCGCATTTCAATCTAAATATTCTTTAATATCAAAATTGCAGTTGCTTGGATTAAGAAGTCATGTTTTATCTAACGTTTTTTTTTTAAATTTTATTTACAACATTTCTATTTGTGATTCTCTGTAATTCAGGTTTTTGAATGAGCTAAACAGACACAATTATGTGACACCAACCTCATATCTGGAGCTGATATCAGCCTTTAAGACACTCGTCACAAAGAAAAGAGACGAGATTATGAAAGCAAAACGACGTTATGTTACCGGTTTGGACAAGCTGGCTTTTGCAGAAACCCAAGTTGGCTCTATGCAGATTGAACTAAAAGAACTCCAGCCTCAGCTGGTTGTTGCTGCGGCAGAGAATGAAAAGATGATGAAAGTGATTGAAAAAGAGTCTGTTGAAGTCAGTGCCACCAGAGAGGTTGTAGAGAAGGAGGAAGCTGCTGCCAACGAGCAAGCTGCAGAAGCGCAGGCATTGAAAGATGAATGTGAAAGTGATCTAGCAGAAGCTATTCCTGCACTAGAGGCTGCACTGGCAGCTCTCAACACACTCAAGGTATGCATGTGTGTTGTGCCTGCTTTCAACATCTGTACCCACATTTTCATTCGTCTGTCATGAGCAGACCTTTGTTGATTTATCACATACCAGCTTACTTTACAAGGCCCTTCATGATTTGCTTAATATGTTAGTCTGTATTAATCCATTGATCTTCAACTTTTGAACTGTTTGACTTTGTCTTTTTGAATCTTAAAGCCGGCAGATATTTCTGTTGTGAAGACCATGGTCAAACCTCCTCCTGGTGTGAGGCTGGTCATGGCTGCTGTGTGCATCATGAAAGACATCAAACCAGAAAAGATTAATGATCCTGCTGGTACCGGTGGCAAGATACTAGACTACTGGGGACCTTCAAAGAAACTCTTGGGTGATATGAACTTCCTCAATATGTTGAAGACTTATGACAAGGATAATATAAGTGTAAGTGTTTTGTTGATTGCTGCCTGTTACTTATCTCATTACCGCAACATGTTACCAAGTTCATTGACATCAAAGAGGCATTCCCACATCATGTCAGAATTGTACATTATACATTTTGACATCAAATATTAGGACTAGTATAATAGAGAGATTTTGATTGTATGACGACCGTAAGAACTAGGACATAGTTACACCACGTACAGTCATCTGCGCCAATGACTTTAAAATTTACAAGTCTTTGTCTGCACATGTGAACACTGAGTTGCAATGATCGTTTGTATTGTCAAAGTACGCAAGCAGTCATGTATCAGTTAATCTGATCAAAGTTCAACCTTTTCTCACGATCAATCACTTCTTAATATGGTTGCACCGCACATCATAGCATATTTGATAGTTTGGAAGGTTTTACATCAGAAAATATAAGCTACCAAAAATATTTGAATTTGAAACTTTTAAATGATGCAAGCCAAATCTATTTAATGCTGTTAGCTAATTTCACTTTTATTTTTAGACTAATATTATGAAGAAGATTAGATTGGAGTATTCGTCCAATCCTGAATTTGATCCGGTGAAAGTAGCAAAAGCCTCCTCAGCTGCTGAAGGTTTGTGCAAGTGGGTGATGGCAATGGAGGTATACGACAGAGTAGCGAAGGTTGTAGCACCAAAGAAAGAGAAGCTTAAGGGAGCTGAGGAAGAACTCACACAGACAATGGCTATCTTGAATGGTAACAAATGCTATTTATAATTGCACTGGAATTAACCTACCTCATGTTGTAAATTATATATTACCAAAAATATACTTATTGTCCCATGACATCACTAGCGGTTTACAGAACTGTATATTGAGAATTAAAAGATGTATTGTCTTATCTTGTTCTCAGGTATAACCATGCCTGCAATATATGCTGTTCTATTTCTTTTAAAAAAGAAAAAAATATAACAAGCAATATTGAATATAAACATTCAACATTATTTGTTGTTTTAACCCAGGAAATGAATTATTGTTTGTTTTTGTCAATAAGCATTCTTGTTTGTAACAATGTATGATCATCTCTTGCATTAGGAAAAAGAGCTGAGTTGAAAGATGTTGTTGATCGATTAGAAACACTCAAGAGTAATTTCAAAGAGATGACCGAGAAGAAAGAAAAGCTGGAACAACAGGTTGATCTTTGCGCAAAGAAACTTGAAAGAGCTGAGAAGCTAATTGGTGGACTTGGAGGTGAAAAAGACAGGTATAGTATTTTAGAAAGAATTGGGACTAAACTATACTGCATCTAATTTTTAAAATATTAATAATCACAAGGATTATGTTGATGGGGTGACAGCTTGGAAAAAACAGGGGTAACAAAAGTAACCAAAACAACATTTTTTAAGGTCCTAGGATAACTATCTAAAACAACAGATGTTGATGCACCAAAATCAAAAGGGAATTCTCAGTTAGGTTGAAAGATAAACAATTCACTTGTGGCTTAATAATAATGACTTTATTGATCATAAACACCTTATCCTAATCATATATGATGAAGTCCACTGTGTGGACGAAAGCTAGAAATAAATCCTATATTGTTAGTCTTAAAAGTGCTTCTGTCATTTCTTTTATATTGTTCTATAGCAGACTATAAATGTGGGCTACACTTGTTATTCATCTTAATCTTATAGTGATAAGACAAAGTAGTAAAGTAGATTTTAATTTGCTGTTAATTAGCAGACATAGATAAACAAGGCCATACTAGAGATAAAACACACAGCTCTAGATGAACCATGGGGGAATATAAAGTATAATATATAACACATTATGTGTTAAGTGGTTTCATTAAAATCACTACACTGTCGCTACAGTGTTTTCAATGCGATCGTTGTATTGTATAGCAGTCCCTGACACAATCAGGAAGGCTCCCCGATTTGAACAACCAATCAGCATCACCGAATGTCCATTTTCCAGTCCCCTGTCCGGCCACAGAAGGAGCGTTTACGTAGCTGCCCATGTCAGGTATCCGTCCTACCTGCGAATCCTTTTACCACACTACGTAAGCTAGATCATACACACTAGCTACGTAGTGACTCGATAAGAAGAAGACAAAGCTGTTGGCAATAGCGTGTAGCGATTGTATGGAAACTAGGCTTTATAAACAAATAATATACTAATAATATAATAATAATACTGTTCTTTAATATTTTTTAAAGGTGGACCGTAGCGGCTGCGACACTGCAGCATACCTATGATAACATTATGGGGGATGTGCTCATTTCATCCGGTGTCATAGCTTACCTTGGAGCGTTCACGTCCGCATTCAGAGTGCAGTGCACCAATGACTGGACCAAGATATGTCAGGTAATGATAATGTTATTTGTTTATTTATTTTTTTTTTAAGGATTCAGTCACATTAAGCTTGATTTTCGTGTATTGCCATTGCTACATTAGTGAAAATAAGTTGTTGCATACATTTTAGAAATAAATAAGACCATGCGATGTTTTAATGAATTGTAATGTTGTGGGACTTTATATGGCTTAATAAACTGTGTTTCCTCAAAACAATCACGCCTAATTAACTTCTGGATTCTAAACTATGCATTATAATAATAACAATAATAATACGCTTTCGAATGTAAATTCAGAACCTGTAAATGTGCATGTGCAGATTTTATTTCAAGCCACAAAAAGTGTACACACTATATCGCTGTGTGACAAAATCTGCTAACGTAAAAAGTAAATAGGCATTGCAGTAACACTAATAATAGAATTTAAATACCTTTTCCAATTTTTAGGATAAGAAAATTCCATGTTCTGACCAGTTTTCACTGAGCCAGACACTTGGGGATCCAGTGAAGATTCGAGCCTGGAACATCAATGGTCTACCTACCGACAGTTTCTCTATTGATAATGGTGTCATAGTGGACAATGCCAGAAGATGGTAAGACTGTATAATCCAACTAACATACTAGTATATGATTTGTGTGATAACATTTTTTTTTTTTTTATTAAAGATTCTCAAATGATATAATCATATAAGTTATTTAACTTTACATCATCAGAACAATAATAAAGATTGATATCATTACCTCCTAGATCAGAGCATTACAGCTTTTAAAGTTAACTTAAAATGGCCATAAAAGGGAAAAAATCACAAATCAATTTTTAATTTAAAAGATAGATAAAAAATAATTATGTAGACAAAATACAAAAAAGGAGGTATGGATATTTCGCTATTACTATTTCACTTGATGGAATGATTGTCTATATTAACTCAGTTCTATTATGAGGCATTTGGGTGTTTTTGGTTTCCAGAAATAAATACCTGGTATTTGCAGGTGTTGAACCCAGCACTGGGATTTGAAGAAGAGCACTGGAAGTGCATGCCACCTTCTGAAACTGTGAGAATACCACTTGTATATAATTAATCTCCATTATTCATTGGTTACTTTACAGGCCGTTGATGATTGATCCGCAAGGTCAAGCCAACAAATGGGTGAAGAATTCTGAGCGTGACAACAAGTTATCTGTGATCAAATTGACTGATGGTGACTACATGAGAACACTGGAAAACTGCATCCAGTTTGGAACTCCTCTCCTTCTTGAGAATGTTGCAGAAGAACTTGATCCATCATTAGAACCACTTCTTCTGAAGCAGACATTTAAACAAGGTCAGTTTATGATAGCAGGGCCGTTTGCAGAAATAAGAATGATCATAACATTGATATTGATTATATATACTCAAAAGCATTTTCGCACGTTGATGCAAGTCAAATGGCCGAGCGTTTAAGGCAGGGACGCCACAACGTACGGCCATAATTGACTGGTTGAAACAGCATTCCCGCAAATGGTTCTGGTAGTTGAACAAGTCTTCTTGGATAAGGACTATAAACCGTAGGCCCAGTGTACACAATTTGGCTTATGTGAACTTTAAAAAATCCCAGTACATCTTTTGAGACCAGTAGGGCGGTCACCCCGGTGTACTGGTTCATACAGCCCCTGTGCAAGTCGCTTGTGTCCTTGGGCAAGGCACTTTATCTACAGTTGTCTCTCTCCACCCAGGAGTACAAGTGGGTACCTGGTAGGTTCAAACACAGCCTGCGCTGAATACAGCTGCAACATTGTGGAATTCCCCTATGGGGCTTGAGTGTGTGTTCCATATGTGCTTGATCCAGTGATCTGGGGGTAATAATGTTCAAGCGCTTCGAGGTTGTGTCAACGGGAGGCGCTATATAAATCCAGAATTATTATTTATTATTATTCTCTGGTAGCTCAGACATGAAGAAACACTTAGGGAGAAGCATGTTACTCTACAAGCTGGTCCACACCTCAAGCTGTTTGAGACTTCACTATAAAGCTCTCTATAAACTTAATTACATTACATCACATGTTTATAATAAATTTTGTACTAATATTCATCCACCTTTGTACTAAAAATGTAACATTATTATCTTCCCAATCTTGATTGGTTGTTTTATGCAACATAAGCTTTAAATGTAGCATCATTTACATCATGACGTACTGACCATGTATATAACTTGGATAATGGTTTCAGGTGGAGTTGACTGTTTGAGACTCGGTGAGAATGTTATTGAATATTCCATGGATTTCCGGTTCTACATAACCACCAAGTTGCGTAACCCCCATTACTTGCCGGAGCTGGCAACGAAGGTGTCTCTGCTCAACTTCATGATTACACAGGATGGTCTGGAGGATCAACTGCTGGGAATCGTTGTGGCAAAAGAAAGGTTAGATAAAAATGTTAGCAAAAGACTCGAAAGCTTTTACTGATATAATTTAATTTAATTTTTCTAAAGAATTTTTTATCCAATAATTTGATAAAGTTGCTGTTGTAGTGTATTTTAAAAAATAATTAATGATCATTATTCTGAAAGATTCTATTCATGCTCATTATTTCAGTTGATAAATGTTTGCTAAATATTATTGATATATTTCCGATACAAGTTTTAGTACTCTTTGAAATGATATTTACCCCCTCTGAGCTGGGCAATATTGCTAATATTTCTTCTGCTTGTTTATTCTCATTGGATCATACTTATTCATTATACTTAGGGAATAATATACTGGATAAACCAACTAATTACCATTGTTTCTTTTAAGATCACCCCTTCAAAAATAATTGACTTATTCATTTCAGATTATTGGGTATCCACGTGCGTTTCTTGAGTCCTTTGCTCTTGCTTGTTCATTCACATCTGTCTGAGTTTCATTTCTAAAAGTGTGTATTTTGATCTTCCAGACCTGAGCTTGAGGAAGAACGTCAAGCACTGATTGTACAGAGTGCCAGCAACAAGAGACAACTGAAAGAGATTGAAGACAAGATCCTTGAGACACTCTCCTCGTCTGAGGGCAACATCCTCGAAGATGAGAGTGCCATCAAGATTCTGGACTCCTCCAAGATCCTGTCTGATGAAATCTCCAAGAAGCAGAAGATTGCGGAGGAAACCGAGAAGAAACTGAATGAATCCCGCGCTGGATATCGACCAATCGCAAAGCATTCCAGTATCCTGTTCTTTTCGATTGCTGACCTCCCCAACATTGATCCTATGTATCAGTATTCCCTCACCTGGTTTGTCAACCTCTACATAAATTCCATTCATGACAGGTATAGTATTTAGATAATTATTCAAATGTAAAATTGTCAGTCTAAATATTTGTTGCTTTGACTGGGACACCAGTGGTACTTGTAGAATTTTACAATACAAATGTCTTGAGTGATAAATGGAGGATATATGCCCCAAAGGGGACAGGTTAGGGGTGTTCCGTACCTATTTTGAGATCCCGAGTTTTAGAGGGCCCGCTTTTTTCTCTACTCTCTTATCCACTACTGATAACTAAATCTCTGTAACATTAAATTTTCAGTATACAATACATGTATTTATATCATCATTCAGGCTACAGTCTTAGATTATCAGATTGAAGATAAGTTAAAGACTGCTAATTTTAAATAAGCTATATTTTGCTTCAACAGCAACAAGTCCAAGATTCTGGAGAAGCGCCTGCGATATCTCTCAGATCATTTCACTTATAATCTGTACGTGAATGTTTGCCGCTCGCTGTTTGAGAAAGACAAGCTGCTGTTCTCGTTTCTCCTGTGTGCAAACATTCTGATGTAAGTTGTTGACATAATTCATGAATATTCATAAAACATCTTTTACTTCTTCCAGCAATATTTTTCTCAACCAATAGCAACAGTGTCACTAGGTTCAGTGAACTTTAGTCAACTTTTTCCAACTCATCTTTCAAGCCTTTTAATGTATCATGCTTTTATTTTTAATGCTCTGTATCACCATTACATTGTTTATGAATGTATCAAAAAAGCTGTATTTGTTGTAACTTTTTTTCAATTCAACAACATGTTAAAATGTTTATCATGTATTATTATTCTTGAGCTAGTCTATTGCATGAAAACTATACTTGAAGGTAATGATAAATGTCAAGATTCTCCTATGGAACTTACCTAAAAGATAATGGAATCATTGATCGTAGAGTGCTGTAGCCATTCTCACACCATTATCCCCATTTACAGATCTGATCTGAACAAAAAAATATATATTAAATATATATTTTTATTTTAATTATTCTTGAGCTGTTTTAGTATGTAGATATGAATCTGTGTTAGTTTGTAGTTACATAACATCGCCCAATAATTACTTTACTGATGCATGTGATATTAACTAAGATTTTGTATTGAGAAATTCCTGTAGTGGAATGTTAGTAAAAGCTATTAGTTGTAGATCTAGTAGAGCATGATTAGTGTGTGTATTCATGTGTATGTTTCTTCCATTTAAGTGCTTGTCAAGGAGAAGCTACGTAAGTTTGATGTTTGATAGATTTGTTAATTTTCTGGCACCTCTTTCTCACATTACTACTGACAATTTTTGTTTCTCCATTTGCACTTGTTTGATTTCAGTATTCTAGTTTTTTATCATTAACCATTAAATATTTATGCAATATTCCTACTACATACTTAACATTGTTTTCCCTTCCTAATCCAAGATTTTTTTTTTATCTATGTTTACATGATATATATTATTTGAGATAAAATTCTAATGGGCATGTGTGGGAATTTATCTTTATATAATTATTTTAAATAATGACTTTTTAGATTTTATCTGGGAGTAAACTTGCCTTTTACTTTAATGTGTAGTGACAATATACAGGGCTGGAGGTCCAAAGGCATTGCATATAGGGAATAACGGTATATTCAACTTACAAGGTTAAATCTAGGATTTCAATAACAGATTGGTACAGGGGTGGAGCACTAGTTTGGCCTTGGAAATTGGAAAAGTGGTGTAAAACACAGGGGTGGTGGAAACAAGTTGATAGGGTACTGGTGGTAGGACACAGTGGTTGAGGCACAAGGAAGGGCGAGGACAGGGATGAGGTACAGGAGTGGGTTTTGAGTAGGTGGGGCGCATGGACCACAGTTTTTAAAAATCTTTTGGTGAAGGGAATGTTTTCACTTATGTTTCTTTTCTTGAAGTATACATTTGTGTTCCAGATGTGTGTAATTTTTATTGTGTGTGCCCTATCCTTTTTTTTTTTTTCTAACCCTTTTGTTTTATATAGGCATTTATACACATGATGAGTAGAAGATCTTTAAAGAACTTACAATTATATATAATATGGTTCAACCAGCCTGGAGTGTTGATAACTAACAAGTTGGATATATTCATAACATTTAAATGTAAATATGCTGGTTGTGTATCTGCCGTCAAGCATGGGTTGAATTTTTACGTTATATTTTGTAACTCTGTAGGGATAAGAAGGAAATGGACCATGAAGAGTTTATGTTCTTCCTTACTGGTGGCGTTGGTCTTGAGAATAAACTTGAGAATCCAGACCCTTCGTGGCTGATGGACAAGAGCTGGGATGAGCTGTGCCGTATGTGTGATCTACCAGGCTACAAAGGCCTCAGGTCTTATACACATCTAGATGTGTATAAGAGACAGATTACTTTCTGGGAGTAAACTTGGCTTTTGCTTTAATGTGTAGTGACAATATACAGGGCTGGAGGTTCAAAGGTGTTGCATATAGGGAATAACGGTATATTCAACTTACAAGGTTAAATCTAGTATTTCAATAACAAATTGGTACAGGGGTGGAGCACTAGTTTGGCCCTGGTGTAAAACACAGGGGTGGTGGAAAGAAGTTGATTGGTGGTAGGACACAGTGGTTGAGGCACAAGGATGGGCGAGGACAGGGATGAGGGACAGTAGTGGGATTTGAGTAGGTGGGGCACATGGACCACAGTTTTTAAAAATCTTTTGGTGGAGGGAATGTTTTCTAAAAGTATACATTTGTGTTCTAGATGTGTGTAATTTTTATTGTGTGTGCCCTATCCTATTTTTTTTTCTAACCCTTTTGTTTTATATAGGCATTTATACACATGATGAGTAGAAGATCTTTAAAGAACTTACAATTATATATAATATGGTTCAACCAGCCTGGAGTGTTGATAACTAACAAGTTGGATATATTCATAACATAAATATGCTGGTTGTGTATCTGTCGTCAAGCATGGGTTGAATATTTATGTTATATTTTGTAACTCTGTAGGGATAAGAAGGAAATGGACCATGAAGAGTTTATGTTCTTCCTTACTGGTGGCGTTGGTCTTGAGAATAAACTTGAGAATCCAGACCCTTCGTGGCTGATGGACAAGAGCTGGGACGAGCTGTGCCGTATGTGTGATCTACCAGGCTACAAAGGCCTCAGGTTAGTAATATTTCACTTCATTTTAGCATTTTTATATAGCGTTCTTTACTGGAGTCTCACAGCACTTTTTTCCCTGGTCATTGGATACAGAATCAGTCGTACACAACGTACAACCTCCTCCCCTCCCTGGGGAGTATTCCTAATTATTTGTGTAATCAGCACCACTAATTTCATTCTGAATCATTCACCTCCTACCAGGTACCCATTTATACTCCTGGGTGAAGAGAGGCAAATGCAGATAGTGTCTTTCCCAAGAACACAAGCAGTGTTACGACTGGTGCTCGTAACACTGCTGGTGTTCCCAAGAACACAAGCAGTGTTACTAGCGGTGTTACGAGCACCGGTCTCGAACCCCCGACCTTCTGATTGGAAGTCCAACACCTTACATTCCACACCACACCCTTTTTTTTGTGGATGGCAGAATCAATGCAAAACATTTGGTTTTATATAGTTCTCCAATAAACAAGTGTGTTGACTCCTTCTTAGTTAAAAACAAAAAACAAATTATGTGTGCCAAAGAAGCAGACATCCTAGAATTTCCAGATTTTCTGTTGGGTTTTTGGATTTAATTTGTTTTACAATATCATTATTTCCATACATTATTTAAGCTTTTAACATAATTCTATGTTATATGGTTCTATGGAAGAAATAAATGTTTGATTGATGATGATATCTAACCAAGTAGTTTTTTATGTCTAATTTCTTATCTTTTATTTCAGAGATCATTTTCAGGATAATTTAGAAGACTGGCGTCGACTGTATGACAGCAAAGAACCCCACCGAGAAACCATTCCAGGTCCATTTGCTAATACACTTACTGACTTCCAGAAGTGCATTATCTTGCGGTGTTTGCGACCAGATAAGGTAAAAAAAAAACTACTGTAAAATTATTCTGTTTCAGAATATTAATATTGTAAAAAGGGTGCAGGTTGTCTATTTCATGAACAACTATTTGCCATTTTTCTCATCAGTGAGAATACCTCTTCAAAAATAATGGAACAGTCTGTCAGCTCCTGGATATACAGCTGGCTTCCATGCATTGTACTTTTAACATTGCCCTATTTTGTAACTTTATTTTATCATTTGAATTTCGCTATTATTTAAGGTGGCACCAATGGTGACAGATTTTGTGATTGCCAAGCTTGGGCAGAAATTTGTCCAGCCTCCACCGTTCGATTTAGCAAAGAGCTACATTGACTCACACGCTTGTGCTCCACTGATCTTTGTCCTGTCACCCGGAGCTGATCCCATGGCAGCACTCTTGAAGTTTGCAGGCGATAAAGGCTTCAGCGGGGAAAAGTTCAACGCTATATCTCTTGGCCAGGGACAAGTGAGTTGTTTTTTTTAATCGTTATAACAAGTAGTGCATTCTGACCATTTGTATTGAACATTGTACAAGTGTAAATTTTGTATAACAGCCAATAACATATAAAGAGCTGAGGATGTTAGCATTTGCAACCAGCATTATGAATGAATATTTGTAAACAAATAGAATGTTTTATTCTTTAAGAGCATTAAGGATGTTTCTGTAAGTAAGCATACTTTTTTAAACATCTCTATGCAATAAACTGTCAGATTTTTGTCTGTCCAACAAAGCAATAACTAATAACTAATATTGCTCATTTCAAACATATCTGATCAAACAAATTATGTCTGGACATGTCTGCCGGAAGTTGTCAGACTACAAAACTAATGTTTTACCAAACTTTATCTGTTAAGAATTTTATATATTATACCTTTTTTTTTATGTAACAGTTAATTTTACATAGTAATTATAAAATAATTTGTGTTTTTTATCAATGAATGATAGGGCCCAGTGGCTGCAAAGTTAATTGATGCTGCTGTCAAGGATGGCACTTGGGTGGTCTTGCAGAACTGTCATCTGGCTGTCTCCTGGATGCCATCAATGGAAAAGCTTTGTGAGGAGTTTGCTCCAGAGAATGTGCACCCAGAGTTCAGGTTGTGGTTGACCAGCTACCCATCGAGCAAGGTAAGAAATTGTAGTGAAAGAAATTCATTTAGATTTCAGATTTTAAATTGTATATAAACTTTTCATATTGCCTGAATGTAAGTTATTTTTTGAGGCCTTGACATTCTTCACTGCATCTTTGCAGTATCAATCTTTTCATATTCTTTAACTCTTGCATTTTATTTATTTTGTCATATAATTTTTCAACTAGATGCAAACAAATCTCAAATATATAAACAACAATAATTAACAAAATTTGCAACTACCTGATAGGATTTGTAGCCAAAATGTAAACTGAATTTTTATTAGGTGGGTTGTTAGTGTATATTAAACAAAATCTGTGTTCCGTGATCCTTCTGCAATCACCATGATCAAGGGATGCTTGATCTTTATACCCTGTTCAGACTACATTCTGTTGCGATAAGTTGCGATGTAATCAGTGATAACTCCTAATCGCAATCAACAAACGCATTCAGACCCAACACAAAAAAACTTGACATTCTAGGGCCTGGGCTTCTGGTGGCTAGGCATATGTTGACTGACCTCAGCCAAACAGTGCCTGTGGAATTTGTTGTGATTCGTTGCGATTGGATTCTGTGGTAATCAAGAGAAATAAAGATTGTAGCACCTGATCGCAATGGGTAACAATTGAGATATCAATTACTTATTGACTATTATTGGTGGGCTTTCACACACGATTTTACTTTGCAATTGGGTGTCATAATTGATACAACTGATCACAATGCGACGCTAGTCTGAATGGGGTATTATTCCCCAAACATTCTACGTATGTACACATCAAAATTGTAAATAGTGATCAGGATGATATTTTTGCAGATATTGGCATATTGTAACAAAATTAGTTTAAATGTTTCTCTGATATCATTATTGTTTATTTTTTTTTACAATAAACCTTGGATCCGCAGTTTCCAGTGACTGTGCTACAGAATGGAGTGAAGATGACAAATGAACCACCAACAGGTCTGCGGATGAACTTGATGCAGTCCTACCTCAATGATCCAATTAGTGATCCAGAATTCTTCGCAGGCTGTCCCGGCAAAGAACCGGTAATTATTATTATAAATAATTATCATCTGTACTGCAATTTTGTAGTCTATGAGTGAGATAGGACCTATCTCAATGAACCAACTTGTACCAAGTTTCCGTTAGCGGAACTTACTACTGCTTCTGATTCGCAATGTGTTGTTTTTATCCCAATGTGCCCTGAGGTTCATCTTGCATGTGTATTTGACTCCTGACCTAGGTTTTATGTTCACCATATAAAATGATATTTTCTCTTGCTTGCTCTTTTCAAATATACAATAATTCTTCTTTCAGGTCTTTGAGAAGCTGTTGTTTGGCTTGTGCTTTTTCCATGGCCTGGTGCAGGAGCGAAGAAAGTTTGGCCCATTAGGATGGAACATTCCTTATGGCTTCAATGAATCTGACTTGCGTATTAGTGTCAGGCAACTACTGGTGAGTTGAGTGTACTAGCCCAATTAATCTACAGTATATCTATCTGTCTGTCACCCTGTTTGTCTGTCTGTCACTCAGTTTGTTACCCTGCCTGTCTGCCTGATTCAAAACCAAGATCCTCCCATTACAATTTGGCTGCTCTACTAACTGAGCTGTGAGGCCAGGCTGCTTTACTACCTTGGATCTTTCAATTTTTTTCATTTTTTTTGTGTTGCTGTTATGTATTTGCTAATTAAAAAATGAATAAAGAAATAATAAAATATAAATTTATAAAGATCCACATGTTATTCATAGATGTTCGTGAATGAATATAATGATGTACCATTTGATGCAATTTCGTACCTGACTGGTGAATGTAACTACGGAGGACGTGTTACTGATGATTGGGATCGACGATGCTTACTCACCATCCTTGCCGATTTCTACACCCATGAAATAGTGGATGATCCCAAGTACAAATTCTCACCTAGTGGCCTTTACTATGCACCACCAAAAGGAACGCATGAGGAATATGTGGAGTTTATTAATGTAAATGATGATTATGATATTACGATTTGTCTATTTGTATGTAAATTTTTCTGTTCCACACCCACCTATGCACTCATGATTGTCTATCATGTTTGACATGAGCAAAAGTTAATTAATCAATTAGTTTTTTTGTGACGGATAAAGTGTCAGAGTTTGTTAAAACAAAATGCTCATATTTAAAGTTTCAGTGCTTTGTTCCATCTTGTTTCTACAATATTCTAATTGAATTCACAGTCTTTGCCCCTGGCTCAAAAGCCTGAAGTGTTCGGTATGCATGACAACGTGGACATCTCAAAGTCCCTGCAAGAAACCAGAATGCTATTTGATTCGCTGCTGCTGACACAAGGCAGAGCTGGTGGTGGCGGAGGCAGCAAGACAACTGATGAGGTGCTGTCTGAGATTGCTAAGGATATCCTATCAAAGGTATAGTTGACTCATCTTTGGTATCTTTCATTTTGTTATGCATATAAAATTTTATTATGATTTGAATATATATTTGATTTTGTAATCTGAATACTAGTTCTCCAGGTATTGACCTAAACAATGTACAATAAAACTTCCTAATGTCAATAAATGAATTGGCGGAGATTTCATCAAAGTAAGATGTTAATAAGTCTCTCGTCCCTGTCCACTTTTTTTGGCCTATACCATTTTGACTATTGAATTCTCTATAGAAGTTTTGAATCAAATGAGTTAATGTGAAATAATTGAAAGGTAACATTAATCATGTTTCTGTAGCTTCCTGCCAACTATGACTTGGAACTGGCACAGAAGAAGTTTCCTGTGGTGTATGAGGAGAGTATGAATACTGTACTGGTACAGGAAATGGAACGATTCAACAAGTAAGTCAGCAGAACAAGTAGTCTGTTTCTGCAGTTGTGATCTATTTGAGTTTAGTACATTGCTTGCTTCTAGCTGTCCATCAAGTAGCAGCTACAAACAATTGCGGCCTCTACCAACAGTTATGTTATTATTCTTGCTTTCACTGCTGTTCTTCTGGCCTAGTGCTCCGCCAGGATGGCAGGTACGGTATATCAGAAAGTCTTGAGTACTGCATACTTGCAAAGCTTCCCACATCTTACGGGAGACTCCAGCTTTTTGACCCCCATCTCAAGCCCCCCATCCAGCCACATACATTCTCCTGCTTTTCACACATCTCATCGCAAGAAATAAGTAATCTCATAAATACTAGGCCAGACCCACACATAAGTACTAGTATCAGGTATTATTTTGACTCGCAAAAGGAAGAAGAAATTGTCGCGAACCACTTAAGTGCTGACGCCACGCCTCTTCCCAATGAATATTATTCATTTGCGGTGCTATACAAAGCACTTTGGTCACACTGAATGGCCCCAAGAGTGCACCAAAGATCATCTAGGCAAACGATTTCTGGGCCCTAGGCAGGACCTGTACCCATACCTATTGAGTACCTTCTGTGGCAAAATCTCAAGCCGGCGCTTCATTCATGGTAATGTATAATTATGATAAATGACTTGCAGCAGTCATAACTTCTATTCTGTCCATTTATTCTTATATTATTCTGTTCTAATTTTGTGGTTGCTTTCACTCCAGGTTGATGTCTGTTATTCGTGTGAGTCTTCAAAACCTTCAGAAGGCTATCAAGGGTTTGGTCGTGATGTCAGCTGACTTAGAGGCCCTAGCTGGCAATCTCCTTATTGGCAAGGTAATTCTTTAAGTTTTCAAGATGTAGAAAAATGTACTTAAATGACACTAAGATGTTATTTTTGCAACATCTTCTTTGGTTGTCCAATTTTGTTATTACCATGGACCATCTCAAATATATTGGCTATGTTTTTCTGATCTTTTCACCTTATGATTTCCCAGTTACTTAGCACCACTATGAGTGCATTACGTTCTGTGTATTAATCAGTTGTTGGATCAAAAATTTTAAAAATAATAATTTGCCTAACTAAATAACGTTATTTTGATTTCTAATTCATAATATTGTGGTGTAGCTAGCCATAGAAACTCTCCCTGTTAACCCTACCAGGAATTTTGTATTCCGGCCGTCGACCGAAGCTCTAGTTGGCCCCTGGTTCAGACCCCTTCGTGGGACATGTCGGACTGCTGGTATTAATGTAAATGAGTAATCTAATTTTCATGATCGTAGGTACCTGAAATGTGGGCCAAGAATTCATACCCCAGCCTGAAGCCCCTCGGTAGCTACGTGAATGACTTCCTAGCCAGGCTGAAGTTCCTGCAGGACTGGTTTGACACGGGCAAACCATGTGTCTTCTGGTTGTCTGGCTTCTACTTCACCCAAGCCTTCTTGACAGGCACAAGGCAGAACTATGCTAGAAAGTACACAATACCAATCGATAAAACAGCATTTGAGTTTGAGGTATGCTTTTAAAATTGATTTCAAAATATAACTATGATATGACATCAGTATCAAATAGTTGTTGATATATCTTATTAGCTTATTAGTACTGGTATATTGAACTACAGGGTAGTATAGTATATTTATGCCAGTTACTCCATGATTGGCCAAGTTGTTCTACTAGACTCTGAGCACCTTGAGTGTTTGGATGCTTTACGACCAGATCTGTTTATAGCATCCACCCACGCTACACTTGTCACATTTGTCTCATGGCGAATTCTTTATATTTCTTATCTTATTTATATATATTTTTTTTTAAGTGCAGCAGTGCATTGCATCTACAGTGTAAGTAAATATCTGAATGTTGACTTTTTACAATCCTTTTCCATTCTGAGATACTGTACTATTCTTTGATCATACCTGTTTCCAGGTGTTGCCACGTGAGACGAGTGATACCGCTCCCGAAGATGGTGTATACATCAACGGTCTTTTTGTAGATGGTGCCAGATGGGACCGCAAAAAGTAAGTTTAAATAATGAAAAATAAAATTGAACACTGTTGAGGATTTACATAAACTTAGAATCACTGTACAAAATAGAGAACAATGGAAACAGCTTTATGAAAAATAATAAATGTTTCAATTCTGAATGTTGAAAGAAATCTGAACTATACTTTTTTTTTTAAATGTGTATTTTTTAATTAGTTCTATTATTGTTATTGTTACTGTACTTTTATTGTTATTATTGATTACTATTTTGCCTTTCTTAATAGTGGTGTCTTAGCTGAACAACTTCCAAAGGTGTTGTTTGATTCCATGCCAGTTATTTGGATCAAGCCAGGTATGTCATAATTGTCTGGGGCGGATGCAGATGGTGTGATCGCACCCCCTAAATTGTATTAAGAAAGTAACTGTATTGTTGAACATGTGTATAAGATTTTTAAGGTATGAGAGTCCAATTTCCGGACACCTAGATATCCATATTATCAAATTTTTCTCGTCTCTTCCCCAACCATGTTGTTAAAATTTAAAAATTGAAATTTTGATATTAAGTGAATAAATTAAGTAATAAAATACTTTAAATATTAAATTTGTTTTTTTAAAGTTTAGTACATTCCAACACAGTACATTATTTGCTCAACTGGCCAATTCGATGAAGATAATATATTTTTGTCATTCATTGCCTTGCATTCCTGGGAAAACCACTTTATAAGAACTTGCATCTCGAGCATCAAAAAAAGTAATGGACTCGCCCTATCTCGCCTATATACACCCTGCGTGAATGAACAATATCCTTGTTTCCGCCTCTATTTTGTCTGTTAAAATATAGATAACAGTGGCAGTGGTGTATATATCTTTTTCTTGATTAGTGGGTATTGCCTAGATCAGGGGTTCTCAACTAAATCGCAGTAGGAGCAAAAATTGTTCATTGAATAAATTTGAAGGGGCAGGACCAAAGGTGTACTATGGCGCGTGGCACCATCCGAGCGCCACAGGGGCGAGCCGAGGGAGGGTTTGGGAGGGAGTGTCCCCCTTCCAAAATTAGAAATGTTTTGAAAATAATAAGCCGCTAGATGCTCATGTAGGGCATCTTGACCTAAGAAAGTTAGTTTGGTAATTAAAAAGTCAAAATGTTGTATATCACACAGTGGGTCATCAGTAATACAGTACTTCTTTGCTGTTTGCTGCGATATTTCTTAGGATTTGATTGATTAAATCACTACAATTTTTGGAGCAATCCATAGCCCTAATCGGCAAACAGAATGTAAAAATATTAAGGTTAGAAATCTAGTCCTTGCGGGCCGCATAACAGGTACTGACGGGCCAGAGATGGCCCGTGAATCGCCAGTTGAGAACCCCTGGCCTAGATTTAGATTAAAAGAGAACTAGCAAAATGATTTTTTGTTCTAGAGTGGATTTTTGATATGCCATTAATAATAGAATCAACCTTAAAATCGTTTTTTGGCTATTTTTTATGAAGTTATAGGCTAATTATATCATATGCTTTATAATCATTTGGTGGATTCCTTGGTAACCAACGTTACAATTCATCCTTTAATTATAGTCACTTTATATTAAAAACAAAATAATATAACAATAAAAATAAAAAATAAAATAACTTCTAAAACTCCGGAGAGTCAGCTGCCAGCTTCTCTTCCTAGATTATGCTTCTCAACACATTATAAAAACTGCAATGGAAGCATGTCATGCGCAGATACCAAAATGTCCACGAAATTGTTCAAGCGGAACTCTCTGCAAAATTAGATATAAAGATGTGGGGTAGGAAAAAGGTTCTGAGAAGGTCCATGAAACCATTCATGCGTTAACTCAGACATATAAAGATGTGGGCTGAATCACTCGTGCGGAACTCTGCTATGCAAAGTTGTAGGCTCATTGTGTGTACTGTAGCGTGTACCTAAATACAACCGTGGGGGAAAACTAGAAGATGTAACAGCGGTATGTTCTATTAACTTAAAATTTGTACTTGGTATAATGGGTTATACTGAGCCGAATTTCACCATTCAGAAGTCGATATGAGGTGCTAGTTAACGTTTATTAAGATTCTTGGAAAGAAAATAATGAAATTATATGTCTCTAAATAGAAGTTCATATGCATCAGCCGAATGTAGTACAATTGTTTATCAGTGTGATTAATCTGCTCAATAAACAATTTTAATTACTTGTGCAAATATAAAGATGTGAGTAACCCACATCTTTATATACGACTTTTCATGGATCTCGACCTGCTATGTAGGCCCTCTTTAGGCTAGACGTGCCTAGACAATTGGAAGCGACGATCGAAGAAAAACAGTTAAGCAAGTCAAGGACTTCGCTAACTTCCATTCCTCAGTATTAAAATCCTTCTATTGATGGGCACTGTCTAAAACTTTCTTCCAGCTTATCTCTGAAAAGACCTTTTCAGAGAGTTACCTTTTGTAACCTTTTCGTCTGCAGTTGGCTCAACATTAATTACACCGGAGCCAGTGAGCTTCCATGACGGCCTAGGCTCGGACATGACACATTGTTGTTTGTTGTTATTTCGCGACGTCATCAAAGAGTACAATACATTCATTATCTACCATCAACTAAACTGCCTTAAAGGGAAAAAAAAAAACTGGCTCGTGTGGGAATCGAACACACATCCTCCATGTTTGCTATTCATTATCCACCATCAACTAAACTGCCTTAAAAAAAAAAAAAAAAACTGGCTCGTGTTGGAATCGAACCCACGACCTTCCAAAAAAAAAAATATAAAAAAAAATTAAAAAAGAAAAAACTTGCCCCGTGTGGGAATCGAACCCACGATCGCCGAGTTTACTACTCCTGATCCAGCATTAGGGCATTAGGCCCTATATTCTGTGGTTCTAGACAAACAGAGCCTGATGTTGTGCAGGTAAAACAATGTAGTCTAGGGTAGTATTTTAAAAATACAAACATTGAGTATCAGATACAAGATAATGTTATAATTATCATATGGCTTTATTTCTACCCTCAGGTATCCAAGAGAACTTTAAACCCAAGACAGACTACAAGTGTCCACTGTACAAGACTAGTGAGAGGCGTGGTACCCTATCCACTACCGGCTTATCAACTAACTTTGTACTCGCTTTTGATCTCCCCACTGCTGTTAATAGCCAACACTGGGTTAAGAGAGGTACGGCCATGTTGTGTCAGCTAGACGACTAATATATTATTTTGGGCACTGCTGTAAAATGTTTTGAAATAAGGTTGCAATCCAAATTAAATGTTTAATTTTTTACATTGAAAATGGAAGCCTACCATTTACTAGGAACTATAACCAAATAACATATAAGCAAGCTAAAATTAAACAATGGTTTTCATCTTCCGTTAATTCTCTGCAATATATATTGACATATAAACTTTATTAATTCCGTCCAATAAACATAAACAATAATTCCATCCAATAAAATATATTTAATGAATAAACTGGATGATAATATAGATTTGTATTGGTAATGTGTAATATTACAGATATAAACACATTAATATTATTTTTCTTTTTATTGTCATTTTTCAATTTAATTATTATTATGTATTATTTTCATAAAATTATTAATATAACTATTGTTATAATATTTCTAATATATTATTAATATTAAATATTATTTTTTTATATACATTATTGTTATTTTTATGTTAATTATTTTGGAGTTTCCATGATAATGTATTTTATATTATTTCAAAATTCCATATGAAGTATGTTGATGTAAATATGTAAATAGTCACAAAATGTCTATCTTCTGTAGAAAATATTGAATCTCATAATTAGCTTTGTGTTTGAAGTCTGCGAAATTGTCTGCTCGTAACAAAACACTATTTTGATGTTAACGTTTTATAATTTTGGAAAACATAAGTATCTTCCCATCAAAATCCTTTCTACATTCCACAAAGAAATATTTTTAATTATTGTCATATATATTTCAGTTAAGTTAATTTCAATGTATTATAATTTGCATATGTAAATATGTTAAGGATTTTGTGATTGTTGTGAAAGTGCAAACAATAAACACAGAATACTGTCTAAATTGTGATCATTTTGATTGTGTAAATATTGTGCAATATAACTTTGTTGTCAACACTGGTAGCACCAAAGATTTCTTAGGCAATGGTCTAAGCTCCCAGACAGACTGTGGTCCACACCAACTGCCATGGTGGGGCTTAGGTGAACAAATTTTCAATAAAAGGTTTATCGATATGCCCAGAAATAGCGCCACCAACATTGTAAAGGAAAACTATTTCCCCAATTCAACTTAATCTACATCTGTCAGAGTATTCTTTCAACTAAACATTACAACCATAACTCGGGTTAAATAATTATTTATCATAAAACTAACCATGGAGTTGTTACAACTCCCAGAACTAACCAAAGATCCATTGAAAGGCACGCAGGCTGAATTAAGTACGAGAAACTTTACGTACACTTCTTTCAAATTGTAATACGACGTTAGCATTATGGCGTCCTCTATAAATTTGATCAATTAGAGCGTTACACCAAGGTCAGCCATGTAACCAGACTTGGCATAACTATTCTTTTTGCATAATTTAGACCCCTTTAACCATTAGGATGTGCACTGAGACAAAAAGTATGAATGTCGCTCCAAAAATTGACAAGGCATTTTATACAAAGTTTCGCTTTTATTTAACCATCATGAGGAATAGTACATACAAAGATACAAACTATAGGCCTATTACAGTATCAGTTGTACCAGAGATCCTATATGCAATTATTTAAATAAGACAAAATCCAGAGTCAGCTTGAAGTAGCATCATGGTGAGTAAGTATTATTGAGAATAATCTTTGTTGATCTTTCTGATCCAACAAAGATTGGATGGTGATGTGATGACGAGGAATTTTACTATACTATATAATCTAGTGTCATTTCCGGCCTTCTATAGGCCTAGGTACTGTTTAATTTTCGCACCTCACCATGGTGGTGCTTAGATGATTGTAGAATCACGAATTCTCCCCCCCCCCCCCGCTTTACCTTTCTAAAAAAAATCTTTGCCCTTGCTCTATTTCACATTTATCTTTATGTCATTAGTCCTTCCATCACTCAACTATTCCACCGCCTATGTCATCATCATCTTAATCGATATAACTCCTGAGAATGCGGGAAAAGAGAATATCCCAGTTAGAAGAAACCCCTCTGTTGAAAATATAAATAAAATTACAGTAGAACCCCTACTAGGGGGACACCTTCGGGACCACAAAAAAAAAGTTAGCGACTAAGCAAACATGTGAAATTGACCCATTATTAGTAGTCATGCAATGAGGACCTATTCTTTGCTTTTTAGTTGATCTATAAATTTAACTAAATTCGCAATGCAAATACAATACAATTATGATGGAGTATACGTAATAAATGTAATTAAAACCATGGACCAATTAATAGGTCCGTGTTAAAACAATAAAAGCTGTATATTGTTCAGGTTCCTGCCTCAATTGCAGACCTGTCAAGGGTCTCACATTTTGACTTGCTAGAGATTTCTGCTGGATTTGCTTGAGATTGGACATTTTTTGAAAATAATGGGTGATAAGATAAGATAACATTTATTGTCCATTAAAACAACTGGAAATTTGTTTTTTTCTGGCAATACAAGACACAAAGGCAAGATAAAAGTTAAAATACAATTGATTAAAAAAAAATTAAAAGGTCATGCGGATATCTAAAATCGATCAATTCAAAAGATAATAATGAAAATGAAAAAAAAAATTTATTAAAAAAATTCAGAACTCGAATTTTAAAAATAATATATAAAAGACGTCGACCGTTTAAAATGATGAGGTGAGGTCACAAACCTTAAGGAAAATACAGTCAAGTGTCGATGTAACATACACGTCTTAACAGTGAAAGTGCCACTTTGATATCCCCAATTTAGTTTTCTTCTGAGTTTCTGCTGAGGCGGCGCCGAACGCTGTGACGATCACTACGGGATCGCTAGCACCGATAGTCACGTTTGTACATGTTGTATGCTTGTTTTGAGAAAATAGCACATTACAAAAATATAATTTGAAGAAATCTCAAGATGAAGCCCATCTCGAATTGAAGCCCTCTCTAGTTTGCAAAAGTGGCCTCCAAAAGAAAAAAGAAGCCCATGGACTTCTTTTCAAGATAGCATATAGGCTTCTTTTCGAGATAGTACAGTAGTATAATACACTGTACATGAATTTCAAGAAACAGAATAAATTAAAAACAAGCTTGATTTATTAGTTTAGGTGATTTCATGTCACTTAAATACACTTCATGCTTACAGATTGATGTTACAGTGGCTGTATTTATTGTTTTATAGTACAAATTCACAGCATTCGATTTGAAGAGAATCCCCCTCTTTAGTACTTTGCAAAAGTAGCCTCGAAAAGAAGCCCATCTCAAAAAAAAGAGGGGGGGGGGGCTCAATTCGAGGTTTTACTGTATTCCAGTTGGTAATGTATTACAGTACATCAATTTTAAATTTAAGACTTGATTTTTGAATAGTTTTATTTCATATATTTCGCCAAAAACGTTAAAAAATACACAAATTACAAAAAGGGCAGGACCCTTGTAGGTGGCTGGATAAACTGAGAAGCAAGTTTTTTTTTTCCTCTGATAAGGTGAAGTCACCTTCAGTTTCTTGTTTCCTAATTGTATGGTTGTTTTATTGTACTCCCAAATGTTTCAGTTGGGTTCTATTTTTTCTTACATTGGTTGTACCAGAGAATTGTTATTTAGAAATAACAACTCCCTGGTTGTACCATGGAGGATTGAGTTCTGTCATGTTTTGCTATGCTGTGTGATTAGAGACAGGGCCCACTCTGTGTTGATGACGAACAAAACTGAAAGACTAACTACCGTAATTAAATGCTCGAATAAGCGCCGCGGCGCTTATAACATTTTTGGAGGCTTCAGTGCTGCGCTTATTCGAGAGCGGCGCTTATAACAAAAAAAATTGGCGAGGCGCTTCCATGCCCGTTCCCCATGTTACCTATTTCACGTATTCCTGTAGGCCTATAGTCTATATCATAGGTCCTATTATCATAAGGAAATGCTTGTCTTCATTTTGTTCATTTTAACACTGTGTCATTGTATTGTATAAACCCTGTTTCTCAATTTCTACACGCATCATATGACATTGGTGCGACGCTTATTTGAGAGCGGCGGCGCTCGTCTCCCATACAAGTACAAGCCACGCCCCCTCGGCTGAACTCGTTGTATTTAGCAACTACCGGAAAACAAAGCGGAAAATTTTAATCAGAACACGTGAGTTAGAACACCTGGGCCATGGAATTTGAAGTACATAATTATTTCATAACTTCAGACTTCTGAAGTTCTACGGAACGTCCGTAGGAGTTGCTACGGAAATATTGCCTAGGCCTAATTATGGACGTTTACGGAAATGAACAGACACTACGGACATTTCTGGGCCTAGGCCAGCTAGCCTATAACTAGGCCTAGGCCTATATGTTTACCATTGTTGAAAGCACCGACAGCTACAGTAGGCTAGGCCCTAGGACAATGATTTTTTCATCAGGACTATTTGGCTAGCCTACATCGTCCCACAGACCCTAGACTATATACATTATTGTAAAATTCGAGAAAAGTGCTCCGTCAGGTGCTACGGAATATTTTCATTTACTACGGAAACTAGGACGACATGGTATGGCGGAAATGCATTTGACTTTTGATTACCAGCCTAATAAGTCACAACACAAGTGTGCAGAATAACTACGGTCACTCATTTCACTATGATGGTGAGTACTTGTTATGCTGGTATTTTAAGTTATACTTGAAAATGGGCTGTAAAATCTTTCGGGAGCGGTGACTCCCATTTTTCATGCTTCTCCCTGGCCTAGATATAAACCCTGCCTAGCTAGAATACTAGGCTAGGCAGGAGGGGCGGGTGAAACTTGCCTATGTCCCCGAATAGAAAACTGGTAAATACTCGACAAAACAAAATGGCTGCATAGTTACCGGGATACACGCTGCGTAAACGAGGCTGCTTCAGATTGTGGCAGTATGGGTTTGGGTACGTGGGGGGAGGGGGTGGTATACTTATGTCCAGAATAGAAAACTGGTAAATACTCGACAAAACAAAATGGCTGCATAGTTACCAGGATACACGCTGCATAATCGAGGCTGCTTCGGATTGTGGCAGTATGGGTTTTTCTTAAAAAAATGTTTTCATCCAGTTTTGGAATTCTGTCTAAAGCCTAAAATAATTTTTTGACTTCAACATTTGTAAATATTGTAATTTTTATTTTCTAAAATTTAATCTAAATTATATTAACGCAAATGTTGTTGCGCTAAACTGACCAATCGGCCATATTTTTTTTGGTCACGTGCATAACTTAACGCTGATTAACGCATTCTGGTTTACATTAATATTCGTTGTCAACCAAGTCTATTTTACGAACCAGTCGAATAAAAATAACACTACGAAAATTTGTACTCAACGAAATGAACCAGTCGAATAGGCCCAGTGATTATAAAATGAAAGTACGCATAGATGGGCCCCTCAAGTACACCATATTCTGTAAAGTATATTAATTGGGCAGATGATACCTCAACTTAAAAACTAGCTGAAATTTTCATGGAAAATCGCTAGGAAAACAGGTGTTCAAAACTGTTAATAGCATATTCAGATGTAATGTTAGAGTTGTAGTTCGATTTAGGCCTACATACTTGCTTTATACAGAAGTCTCAAAGCACTTGAGGTGTGGACTAGCTCGTATAGTAACTTTCTTCTCCCCTTAGTAAGGGTCTCTTCATGTCTAAGCTACCCGGTCAACGAAAGGCTAATTTTCGGCAAAACCTGCACATCGGCCCTTATTTTCTAAAATGTGTAGTATCTAGGCCTAATTTTTCAATGGAGGATATATATTCCTGGGCACGGCCTTACTTTACAGTCTAGTACTACAGTCGTCAACCCATGGGTTGTGACCCAACTTTGGGTTGTGAGAGAATTTTAGAGGGTCGTCAGATAGCACCGAGTCTCAGAACAGAAAGTCTTAAATGTTAAAATAAACACATTAAAAATCAGAAAATTCCTCTTTGAAAACATCCAATTACAAAACATTTTATTGAAATTAAATAATTTGATAAAATGTTGGCTATTGTCTACAGTTTGTGTCAATGTTTGGCTGACTGTCATCTGATAGAATTGATGAGCTTGATAAAACATCGCTATGCCCGGGCAGTCCTCAAATCTTATTTCAGCGCGCCATTTGTTGAATAGTATTTGTGTTTCAAGATACAAAGGAATATTTGTTTTGGTCTTGTAGTCAAGTTTTAGAAATTTTACAGTGTTGTATCACTCATTTATAATCTCGGCTTCTTATTTGCCTACTCTTGAAGGAAACTTTGTTTTCGAAAAGAAGGTTTAAGTGCCTGCTAAAGTAGTGGGCAGTATGAAAACAGTACATGGCAAAGGTGATAGCGAAATCAGCAGTGAAATTGTATGTTCCCAATATTATATTGTGATGCGATATGAATGACCAAGTATTTTGTTTTTATGTTGAGCATTCTATTAGACGCATGTAGCACTGTCTCTTATACAATGGTTCTTTTTGCTCAAAAGATGTCAAAATACAGTAAAGTTCAACGATTTTTTTATTTTGAGACTGCACGTAACTTCTGTGATACAATGAAAAGTATATATTTGTCCACTTGATAGGCGTTAAACGAATTAACGAATTAAATTTCACTGTCTCACTAAACTATATTTAAGAACTATTTATAAGCATTTTAGTATATTTTTTCAACCAATTGCCACCATATTGTAGGTACTGTATGTGACAACAAATTTCAAATGCAAGGAATTCCTTTGCAGCTAGTACCATTTGAAAGAGCCTTAATTTGTACACGGGTCCCTCATCACAATATGCAGTCTTTTAACGCCAACATAATGTCAATGGCTGTCGAATGTCTGTAATCAGATGGCTAAAAGTACTAGTACCAGTAATGTAGCATTACATTGGTAACAAGATTATTGCCCTCCAAACAAATATCAACAAAGTTACAGAATTTAAGTAATTATCAATTATGCTTAATTTTGGTCCTTCAAAACCAATGTAAACCATAGAAAAAAATGCGAGCTTTTTCTTGAAATGTGATCAAAAACTGCTTTATTTTAGACATATATCAATAAAATAAAAAGCATTTGAAAGCATACAAGGACAAAAAAAGAATTGTAAAATTCAATCATTCATTAATTAAATAATAATTTAATTAATTAATTACAAGTAACTAATTACCATTATATATTATATATTTTAGACATAGGCCTACCTCAATGTATAAAAACGTGGTCAAAAAGATTCAAATACAAAAGTTTGGTGCACAAGGTATAACATAATACCAAAACTAGATATGGATAAATACTGTATATCAATTAACACATTAAAATTTGTTTCAGAGCAATATAAACATTGACTGCCAGACCTTTTTTTAAGGTTCCTTCCTGTGTGCCAAAACAAGTTAACATATCCAAACATACTTTTTTGAAATTTAATCCAATCATATATCATCAAAATGATGTGTTGAATAAATTGGCGGTAAAATATTAATTCGTTGACAGCACTGTGATAGCATTGTCTATGCCAAGTGCGATTTATCTTGTCCACTTTTTGCATGGGTTGGTATATATTCAAAGGGTACCTCCACTTTTCAAATTTATACACCAATTGGTTTTAATAATTTATGGTATTGAATTACTAGTTGGGACATACTGCTGATATACATAGCTACATTAGGCTCCTCCTATTTTCTGATAAAGAAAATTGCATTATTGTATTAAATTTATCCTCCAATAACATCAGTTACCAAAAATTGTCTACTTTTCTTTAATAATAATTTCTTACCATGCACAATGATAAGCTGATGGATATCTCCTACCTATGCCTCAAATAGCCTGTGCCTCAAATAGCCCATGCCAATTTGCAAAATAAGTAATAAAAGTCCTGAAAATTTAAATTGAAAGTGTGTAACATCAGTTTCCGTAGTGTTATATTTAGCTCCTCTTTTTAAATTTTGAAATTTAGAAATTGAAATTCATATCCTCTGTCATTTTCACAGTAAAGGGTGTAACTTTTTCCAACAGTGGTCAAAATTTCAAAATAGATTTCCATATACATTTCTACAAAAATCATATGTAGAAATGTCCAAATTATTTTAAAAATGTCATTTTGCAGCTTAATCTACATTAAAAACTTGACTAAAGCTGCTAAACCTGATAAATATGATCACTTTGAGCAAAAACAACATTTGATTTGCATTGCACAACAGAAATCATGTGCAAAGCAAAAACATTTTAATTACCATTTTTCAATTGTTATTATAATGTAGTTCATAGAAAAACATTTTTTCTTTGTCAAGAACTGAATTGGTCTTTCAGTATTTTTATGTAATTCCTCATATAACATGAACAATTTATACTAAGATAACATTTTTTAAAGTTCATTACCTATTGCAAAAGGGAATGTGAAGTAAAACATAGTGTACAGATAAACTTTAGTTAGGGTTACTTACCAATGCTAATTTCAAAGAAATTGCATTTGTTATACGAAAGATGTAATTTTCAGGATCACATGTTTGGGAGACTTCAGTTAACAATAACATAGGTTTCGGAGGATTCAAATATGTTAACATATGATATAAGCTATTTTTTTTCAGATAAAATTAAAAAAAACAAAACCAAACTTTATTATTAATAAAAAGTCTAAATGTAATTTATTTAACATAATGTTTGCAAATTGCTATTACATTGGTTACGTCAACAAATTACGCTTACCAGTGCGTCCTGTCTTATGTTTGGTAGTTAACATTAGGGATAGCAACATCCCATACTGGGTTGTCATTCTATGGAAATATATAGTAAGAGTAAAATTTAAAATGCATTTCAATTAAACTGATTTGTTGTATCAAAGTTGAAGCTCATGAAAGTGTAGAGGTTTCAAGTTAAATGGCACATGCTTTGGAGACCTCAAACATGTTAACATACAGTCACTATTTAGTTATACTTTAATACTGTCTAATACCAAACTTAACAATTATTCCCGAACTAAACAAACTACAAGGTTGTTGCTGTAGAAAACTATAGGTGGGTAATAGGCATCTTAACATTCCAAAGAAAAGGGTGGTGGGTGATAACATTGGTAAACTCTAAATCACAGGTGGGCAAAGTGATAGAAAACCCCTTGTTTTTTACGGCCCGATCACCTCTAAAAATTAATATTAAAAATGAGAATCAAATGGCATAAGAGCAGTGCATGAAGGTTTTTGGAAGCACACTTAAAACATCAAAGCTAGGTTTTGGCCCTCAAACTGGTTTTTATGCACACCCCTACTCTAATAAAGAGTGGATTTTAAGAATGGAAGTGTAGGTTAATTAAGTGTGGGTGGAGAGCCATGAAATTAGGTTTAGACTGGATGGAAAACTTCAAGGCTGAGTGACTTCACCCTCCTCTCCCCTCCCCATAACTACATCCCTGAACATGCATACTATATAATCTTTTATTATTTTTATTAAAATTGCAAATTGCAATTGCAAATTTATAAATGTCCAATATGCAATACAAGTAGATTTCCCGTACAATTAAAAATCGCAACGGTACTGGATTTAGTCTCTGAGTTTGTGTTTCAAACAGGTCATTTCATTCGTAGAAGCCTTTTGATGAAGAAAGTGTACCTTTTTAAGAAGGGTTACCTAGGTTAAAACTTACTCTGGGTATATAAAATTGATTATAAGCTTGAA